TTTTTTTATATCATATATAAATCATTTTCGGCAGCCCTGATACAAAATGGCCGGGTTTACGCACGGCCAGTGATGTGCATGCACCAGAGTGGCCGGCCGTAACCCTATATACGGACATCTCGGCGAACGACAATTTTGCGGCACGTTAAAAAACGGCAATGTCGTATTCAAAATTTGAAAATAAGAATGGAAAAAAGAATGATGTTTAGAGCCAATATTTAGTAATCCAAATTAGTGTTCTTTTTATTTACGTACAATAATGTAAAAAAAAGTAACAGTCTAAATTAATGTGTCTCACTGCTGGACAAAGTCCTCCTCTAGAAACGGCGTACAGACTATGTGTGCCTAGCCATCTCACGACCCCACCGCGGATTGGCAGACTACATGTTTTTGGAATATTATTTTTTTAATATTTCGAAAATATGCCGGTTTGCTCGCGACGTTTTTCTTCGTCATTGATCTCGTCATGAATTACCAATATAATTTACAATAAAAATTTCGTTGGTGCCGACACCAAGGTTTAAACTGCGGTTGCTCGAGTATATTGAATGAAAAGAGAGTACGTACGCTCGTACACTGACCTATCAAGGTGTCAATACAAAAACAATAATTATTCGACAACATTAGGCGTTGTCTTATTCGAATTTCGAAAATAAAAATGCATCGATACCTTTTCTTCGAAAACTAACGTTGGTTTTCGAATTTGGAAAATGCAACGACAATCGATGAGAAATAGAACGATTTGAATGATTGATTTATACTGATATCGAGAGTGCTACAATATGTCTCGAATTAGATAGAGAGAGCACGGTACCAGCAAACTCGTGAAAACGCAGACGAAATACAATTTACTGTTTAACACAATTGCTTTTATTAAAACGCACTTTTGAATGTTAAAGCGAGACAATTGAGAACTGATGACGAACGATAATAAACGCGATGCGTCGGGCGTCGGACGCTGCCGGCGCCCTTTGACGGAAGCGTGATGATGCGATCGGGCGCGACTTATCGTCGGTCACGATCTCACGCCGCTCAATTCGTCCGACGTTACGTCCGAAACAACATTTGTACGGTCGCGCACAGATGCGAGTATCCAATGAAATTATAACATTTGTACAATCGCGCACAGATGGGTATATCCATTGAAATTTCGAATTTTTACAGTCGCTCACAGAGGACTCGATGCGAGTTTCGATGTCGATCTAACATTGAATTGCGCGGGATTGAAAGAAGTTAAGCGTGCCTGTCTCCGGCGCCAGAGTGTGGGTTCGATCCCCATTACTGGAAAAATATTGTGTGGTGAACATAGTATTTTTCTAGTGTCTGGGTGCTTATATATGTATATTATGTGTTTATTTACAAAAGAAAAGTATGTTTAAGTATGTTTATCAGTTATCTAGTACCCATAGTACAAGGGTTCCTAATTTGGGACTTGACGTGGACTTGGACGTTGTGTAAAAATGTGTCCGAAAATATTTTATTTATTATTTTTTTTTTTACAACCTATTTGTGACGCATATCAAGGTAAAATGATTTCGTTACAACTTTTTTTTACGTATCTCTTTATTTTTTGGTAAAATTGTCAATTATTTCTGTTTTCTCTATCTTTATAAAGTTGTTTACAAGCACCCTGCTTCAGTTATCTTGGTAGCTTTAGTTCTGTTTGACTGATGTCCACTTGACCGTTCAAAAATGGCCCAATTAATTGCAAAAGTGAAACGGTTTCATTATTATCGAACAAATTATCGATAGAGCACCGTTGTTGCGATTCTCTAATGAGGTTTTATTTTATTTATCTAAAAGCCTCGTTGCTGTAGCTATACATAAAGCTTTTGTAATGTTTTTTATGTTGTCGAAATGCACGAAAAAGTTATTCAATTATTTATTTATTTATAAGCTGTCGTTGGATTTAAGAAGTGTGTACAGTGCAACCTAACGTCTGAAGGGTCCGCAAGTTGTTTTTATTATTATTGATAATTCTCAATTTTAATTTTTCTTAAATTGTATTTATGACGTCTATCCAAATTTTATAAATAAAAAGTTATATTAATATATAAATAAAAATAAATATTAATAAAAAGTTATCCTCCGTCGTAAAAATTTTATCTTATCCTTTAAACGAGCAATTCTTGTATATATATATATATATATATATAATCGGAATCTCGGAAACGGTTCCAGCGATTTTCATGAAATTTATTATGTGCGTAGATACGGGGGCGAAAAATCGATCTAGCTAGGTTTCATTTTTAGAAAATGTCCTTTTATCCCTGTTTTCGGGGAATGAAAAATATCATTCGAATATGACGGTAAATTTGGCCGCAAAAAAAATGTTATAATAGCTCGGTCGGTAATCGGGCGGCCACGAAACAGAAGGCCGTGGTTCGTGTCACAATCATTTACATACTTATTTTTTTACTTTTTTTCGATTCCAGATCATTGCTTTCTTTATTTTTTTATTTTTTGTCCATCCAGATGATTTTGTTCTTTTTTCCCTTTTTTTTAAAGTTCTGTCTTTTGTGAAAAACACCAGTTCATATTTTCTTATTATTACGTCGGTAAGATCGAAAAGTATTATGCATGTTTCATTACTCAGTAATTTGTATCTAAATGTAATTTTCAAAATACACGATTTACCAACAAAAAAAAAACAAACCGTGCAAGGCTCGGTCCTCCAGGTACTAAACATTATATGATTATTCGTTTTTTTCAAACCTTCGAAATTTTGACGCTGACGGAATTCGAATTACGAATGGCGTATGTTCAATCATATCCGAAGTCTTTTTGTTTCCACGCACGTTCCAAATTCGAACACTCTAAAAAGATATTTGGACGTCTCACATTTTTCTCACGACTCGAAATGTTGCCTGTTGTTTAGGAACAATTGTGCAATACGTCAAGCTTGGAACGACCTCCAAAGTGTAATGGACATTGAAACTATTTTTGTAATCGACATTTATACAAGGCGAATAGAAGTTAGGCTTATTAGATTTTATTAGCGGTTCAAGCAATGCGAAGGCACAGCTGATTGATGTATAAACTTTAACGTGTTACACATTCAAATGTTCTTGACCTTGAAATGTCCTCTATGAGACTTCGAAAAAACAACACTAAACATTAACCAGTAGGAAAATGAATTAAATATAATATAGAGAATGTAAAGTGATACCTACTTTTCATTCCACGTCTTTCTGTTTTTTCCATTTCTCATTACCTTCACCCCACAACGCATCGCATTGTGGATATTTGTAATAATTGTAGTTTCAAAAAACCGGCCAAGTGCGAGAAATATTTTGCATACATTGTCAATGCTTCATCTTTCACCATTGATCTGGTCACCTTACTCACGAGATGAGACGCAAAAGAAAGTCAAATCAGATCACATTATGTATTCACATATTTCTTTACAAAAAGCTGCTTTTACTGTACATTAAATTATTCTGTATTGTAAAAGCATTTTACAAACATAAATTTCACTTAGACAGACACCCAGATTCGAAGCAATTGTCTGTGGCTCACACAAATACTTGTCCCTTGTGGGAATCGAGCCCACGACCCCCGATACCGAAGCCAATACCTTGACAGCTGTGCCACGGAGTCAAGTAATATCGTAATATGGTCATAAGTAATCCGACGGTTGACGTAGCCCGATTTGACAAATAAGATGACTTGTTAGAGCAGGTGCTGAGCTGTTGGCTCCTTGACTGGAGGTCGTGGGTTGAATTCCCACACATGACAATTATTTTTGTCAAACACAGATGATTTTTCCGTATATGGGTGTATATTCCCAAAGTGGGTTGACGCCAGGCAGGGCTGCCGGTCGTAAAATCCTAGGCAATAGGATGAACGATAATTCACACCTATGAACATGAACTTATCCCACCTACGTAGGCATAACACGTCGCTAGGATAAGTTCAAGAGAGCGAAGAAGAAGCGTTTACCTCATTTAAATATGAATTAAATATATTCATCATTTAACATATCCATCCCGTGTGATTTGTCCAAACGCCTGTAATTTAAAAACGTGATGGATTAAGTCAAAAAGTTGTCCTTAACGATCGCCTTAGGCGTCGTCGCTGCGTTCATTACGTGTTTTGGTTCCGAAGACAAGGTACGCTTAGGGTATCCGCACCTAATAACAGAGTAACCGACATTAAACGATGTAAGGAATGCACGTAACACTCGGATAGTCTAACGTGTAATATAGAAACGTTAGACACGGTCCCCGTGTGAACGGCGCGGTCATTAGAGCGTGGCGCCCATGTACACTACACTCCGGTAACGACCGTTTTGCCTCACGCCCTCAGGTGATCGTAAGGCAGTTGCTTTCACGAAATATACGCAGGACGATTTGTTGTAACTCCTATCTCCGATCGAAAGACGGCCTTCTAAGCTTGAACCCCACATTTTAAACCTAAGCTTTCTAATTTAAAATGTCAGAGTGCCGAAAATTAAAACGTATACTATATTGAAAATGCTGAGTAGAAATTCCACGTCGTATTTAAATAACTGCATTGAATGTTATGTATAAAATATATATCACAACACACTGACAAAAATCGATCACTCACATTCCATTTTGCGTCAGTGTGTTGTGATATATGGTGTAGAATTGTAGATGGAATGACAGTAGAGCAGAGGCCAAGCTTTATTTCGAGTTATCTACACTGACTAGCCAAATAAAATTGGTTAGATTTTAGCACATGATCTTACAAAACGCTTTTAATTCAACCTGACGAGTCAGGTTTGAGTCAGCTCTGACTCGGGTATGAGAGAGGTCCGACTCCAAACCAGGCGTGCCTATCTTTCGGGTCGTCCCCCACCGTCGCGTCTCGTGACCGCAAAGTGTTTTTCCTATCAGTCCTAATTAATCACTGTTGCGAGATAAATTATCTTATCGCTAACCGCACAGTCGCTTCGAAGCCTCCCAATTATTTCAACTTCTCTGTCGCAGACGTGAGGTGCGCGCGTCTGTGCTGTGGGCTGGTGACGTCACGCGATGGGAGCGCGGGGGCTGTGCATGATCGCCCTATTCGGGCTCGCCTTGGCTCAGGGTCCCGAGAAACGTGAGTGATTTTTTATCTATATTCTCTATCTATTTACCCCACTGTCAATATGGATTTGTCTTGTTCAAATTATACATCTTTCATCATCAATGTCTGAGGGCATTGTAGCGGCCCTTTGTAAGACTTGTTTAATAATGTTCACAATAAAACTGTGGTATGGACACGCAGCGTCTTTTGCTGTTTCAAGAATGGGTATGCTCGTCCCGGGAAGTACCACAGCCTAATAGAAGACAGACGTGTTTCGCGTTTTGTCTGGTGAGTGAGGTAACTGAAGCAATTTATTTCTTTAATATTTTAATAACTCTCCTGTGAAAAAACTTTCTAATGTCTTATTATGTTTATTTAATGATTCTTTTAAATATCTAGCGATATTAGGTAACAACATTTTGTTTTACCAAGTAATTTGTCTGCTTAGTTGTACCGACGATCGCTTTATCTGGAACTTGCCAACTTGTCCTGAACTTGATTAAAAGTTTATGTTACAGAAACCATCAGAAACGCTACTTACGAACATTATTGACGGGCCATACTATTCTCGTTTTATTTATTTTATTAATAAATATTTATGTATATTTTGTACGTTGAGTAACGTTCCCTCGTGAGAACAAGCCAAATGAAATTGCCGTTTCACACGATATTCAGTTGCTCCTTTTCCCCGGCTGAGCGATAGGCGTTAAGTTTATAACGTGAAAATTTAACATCATAGGCACCTTTGTGTCAAACTTTCTATATTCTGGACTGTGAATTGGTAGATGCTTAGTTATTATTATATTATGTTAATAGTATGCGAGTGATGCTTATTGTATGTATAGGTAAGTATATCACATACATAAATAAGTATCCTTAGTATTAACAACTTATTGACTACTCGGTGGCAGCCCTATTACCTTCGGCGCTGGGGGTCGTGGCTACGATTCTCAAACGGGACAAGTATTTGTCTCACCCCAATAAATATTTTATTTATATTATAATGTCCAAGAATACATTGAGGACAAGGATGTGTGGAAATGCCTCTTGCTCTGCACTTGCAAGACCCCTGGCTGCTGCTGATTTTATACCTAAATAAGTTTGTATAATTGCATCAAAAAAGAATAACAAAAAGAACAAGACCGCAGAGTTTCTTGCCGGTTCTTCTCTGTGCAGGTCTAGTTTAGTGAACCGGTGGTAGATTTTTTGTTGACGTTCAATAAGAGCTTAAGTTAAGGCTATATTGAATAAATATACTTTTATAAAAAAAAAGAAAACATCGACATGACCTTTCAGCCTTATCGCCGGATTCTGAATACGCATTGTGGTTTTCTTGAAACTTTTTAAAAATGGCCTCTCAGAATAAATTAGTTGTTTTCACTTTTTAAGAAACCGCAATTTTGTGCTTGCTCATTGTGCTTTCCGTCTTTTTTAGGCTTCAGCTTGTTTCAATAGTGTTGCTTTTTTATACTACTTGTGTTTTTTCTTTATATGTTGTGTATTCAAGGAAAGCAACTTGTCGGCAAATGTACACAATTTTCACAATGTACACGTTCCACTTAAGTAGATTTATCTGAACGTTGTCACAATCTAAGCTTAAACGTCATAAGCTATGGTCACATTAAATGAATTTATTATTTAACATCTGTGCATAACTGCCACAGAACACAAAAATTTTCTCGGTGAGAAAAAGCTCACAGCTATGATGAAGGTTACAGTCTTGTTGGGGCAATTGGATTCTAATATAGGATATAGTGTGCGATAGACAAAAAGAAAATACTTTAGAGCACAGATTAAATTCACAATTTCTTTAAGAATCTGTTTTACCGCCATCCTTGTTTTCGCGCCATCCGCCCTAACCTGTGTAACCGTGCATAGTTTACGACGTTGACGCAACTCACGCGACCCGCGTTTCAAAATAGAGTAGGCCGCATCTTATCGGTTCTGAATTAAGGCTAGCCTACTCGTTACAGCAACATATGCTAACAGTTGACGGCTAAACACTTGACGCCTCAAGGTGGCGGAACTGCTGATTCATTCAGAATATGCGATTAAAGTAAGAATTGTGCTTTAAAAAAAAAATAGGCAAACGTGCAGGAGGCTCCGCTGACGGAAAGTGATCACCGCTGCCTATGAATATATAGCGTGTCGTTACCATCGCGACAATAAATGAACACACATATAGGGGATAATTTTTTAAAGTCGTATTAAAAGCCGAAATAGAATTTTAGAACACCCTTACCTATAAAAGCGTAACGTAAAGTTCATTTGTAAAGGTCACAAAGCATATGAATGGGTTGAATGAATTTAAAAGAGACAAAATATACTGTTAGAAGGAAAGGCTTGTAATACGACGCTGTGACGCGAGTTGTATAGGATGTTACAAATTTTGTTTCTGTTTTACTTAATTAGTTTGTTTGAAAAATATTTTTTTTAATTATGGATTTTGTTTAACGTCAATATTTTTTATGATTATTGGCAAGTAGCGTTAGACGTGTGTTGATTTATTGTCGCGATGGTAACGACACGCTGTATATATAACCCTGGAGGGCTTGCAAATGCGTTGCGAGCTCTTAAGGAAAGAACATGTAATACTCTCTTCTTGAATCTGTACGGGAAGCCGATATATGCAGGTGGCTCAGGATCGTGCTTCTGTTGGGTAAGCCTGTGATGAGTGATGCTGATGATGATGATAATATACTGTAAAAAGTGTTGGCAGACAATTCGTACGGATAAAATGTATGCATCAACTTTGTCCATTTGAAAGTCGGTGATGTTCTAGTGGCTATGACTTTTGGTTTCCTTTTGTTAATGTGGGGGAAACGCTTACGTACACGCGCCCTTTAGGGGGCGAGAGACAAAAAGAGGACAAAAGCGCCACGGGACGCTGCAACATTCAGCGCGCCTTCTTACTCGGCCTCTTATTCATGAGTTCGCTGACCAGAGGCCATGGGAGCTAAGAGAGCCAGTGCTAAGAACCAGCAAGCCTTCCAGCCCCCATCAGCGGACCTGGTCCGTGGCTTCACCGCTCACCACGTATCGGCAGCGGAGAACGGCATTTCGCAATACCGGTCCATTTTGTTAATATCGCCGTTAGCTAATACCATTTTTATATGGTTTCTATATGTTTAGAATATAGATCCGAAACAATTATCCGTGAATCATAAAAATACTCATTTGTTCGAATCGAACTCACTGAGGCCGAAGCGGTTAAAAAAACTTTAAAGAAAACGATCTATTGATTATGTTTTATAGGGTTTTTATGTAGCATATATATGACGGTATATTTCAACAATCACCTAGGATCCAAGAATGTGACCGCACCTATTGGATACAATAATATTCAAAATAAAACCTTATTGATTGTTGAATCATCATCATCAGCGGCCCTTGTTTTATCCACTGCTGGAACTCGTTTAATAAACATCATCCCAATCATAATCACTAATACAATAAACTTACTTGCGCTTAGTATCAAGTCATCACTCGTGGCTTCACGGCGTCCTACGTCGAACATTTATTTCTTAATAATTCACGTCTATATATTTTATATACATACACATACGCAATCTATAAACAAGAGTCAAACGGATGTTTTTACAATGCCCGAAATTAAATCTTGAACGACTATTTGTGACGTCACAGAGTTCGTTCGTGCGATGATGCACGGTTAGTGAACACGCTAACGAAATAATAACATGAAATACCACCATATCCTGATTAAACGTTAAAATTGTTTAAGTTTTCCTTAGGGCTAAAGTGATTCGAAGATATTTCTCATACTATTGTTACTCGTATCCTAATGAAATAATGTGCACGATATAAATACTACGAGCAATCATAAATTGATTATACCCACAACTAGACTGCGTAGAATAAGCAATTCTTTTATGGGACAATGTGTACGTTTTTACAATAAAATTCCAAAAAACGTTCACAATGTATCAATTTCTAAATTCAAAAAAATTTAAAGGAACGTTTGTGTGTTAAATAATATTATATTAATGATTATTTGAATGATAACACACCCTGGAAATGTATTGATCGCCCCAGGCTCTTTCAAGTGGACTTCAGAACATTTATAAACATGTTTTGATAAATAATGGTGAAAAAGTCCCGCTGAGTTTCTTTCGCCGGTTCTTCTCAGGTCAGTGGCTTTTCTTTTCCGAACCGGTAGTAGCGTTTGACAATCAATAAGTAAGTGTAATGCTAGAAGCATTACACTTACTTACTATTGAATAAAGATTTGAATTTGACTAATAAAAGAAGATTTCTATAACGAATGTAAACATTGTCCTATCCAGTGGCGGATTTGTAGTCTTGGCCGCCCTGGGCCCCAGCCCATGTAGTAAGTCCCAGCCGCCCATTCTCAGATCCACTTTATTTATAGGTGGTAACGCGGTTATCACTTAACATCAGGTGAAGCGCCAGCTCGTTTGCCACTTTCTCACATAAAAAAAACAAAACTAGGCCAGCACCAACGGCACCGTAATAACCGAATCGATTCCACAATAACGAGCGTCGACACATCGATTCTCTCCACCCGAACAATAGGACCAACGAACGGGGTCGGGCGGCCCTCCAACGCGGAAATAATGGGTGTAATGGTCAATTGATAAGATTTAAATTATTACACGACCGTCGGTTCTCAAACTTTCCTTGTCACAGTGCGAGTAGAGCGAATTTCAACGTGGCTATTCAAATATTCCGCTGCGTTGTGGGGAAATAGAACTGACGACTGATAGACTCTTCAGTAGGGTTTTCGGTGTTCTGCTCAGACTTTCGGCGGTTCAATTTCGTTGCCTATTTATTCTTGCGCTTTTTCGACATTTTTTTAAATTGAAAAGTTGGCGGGCGCGCATGCGGTTCTCTTGATGTTTTTTTTTTATGTAAAAAGTTGCCAAGCGAGCAGGTGGTTCACTTGGTGTTAAGTGAATCACGCCACCCGTGGACATCTGCCACACCCGAGGGCAGCAGATGCGTTGACAACCTTTTGAAAATTGGGCTCCGGCCACCTCACTCACCAGACGAAACGCGAAAGTATTTTATACTTCCACTTTACGTCGGTCTTCTGTGAGGTCGTGGTACTTACCCTGATGAGCCTGCCCATTCGTGCAACAGCCGAGGCTGCTTCGTGGCCCTACCACCGTGAAAATGTTAAGTGTTACCGATGAACATCTACAATATCTGAAGCGTTGAAGATTTGTCAACAAAAAATATTGGCCCCGGTTACCTCATTTACCAGACAAACGCGAAAGTATTACACTGCCACTTCACGCCGGTCACCTGTGGGGACGTGGTACTTCCCCGGACGGGTCTGCTTATTCCCACATCAACAGAAGCACCGTCGTTTATAAATTGCGCGTTACTAATTTAACTATCGTCTATGACATTACCTGTCGCGGACTTACTTGTATTTAGGGGATTACAAAAAAACGAAACAATAAATTTCAACTGAAATCTAATGAATGTTATATTGAAGTTTTTCATTTGTGTACAAGTGTCCATGGGTGGTGCTCACTTACCATCAGATAAATCGGTTGCTTAAATGCCTCTGTTCCATAAAATAAAGTAGGCAAGAAACAAAGAAAAGTTTATTTTTAATATACAGGGTGGCTTTTCTAAAGGGACCCAAATTCACACAGGAAATTCAGACTCGGTAGTATAATCGTTTATTAAAATAAAAACAAACTTTTTTTTAATCAAAAAATTTAGAATCTGGGAAACGGCTCCAGCGATTTTCGTGAAATTTAGTATGTGCGTAGATTTGGGGGCGAAAAATCGATCTAGCTAGGTTTCATTTTTAGAAAATGTCCTTTTACCCCTGTTTTCAGAGAATGAAAAATATAATTCGAATTTGACGGTAAATTTCGCCGCAAGAGAAAATGTCATAATAGCTCGGTCGGTAATCGGGCGGCCTCAAAACAGACGACCGTGGTTCGCGTCACGATCATTTACACATTTATGTTTTTACTTTTTTTTCGATTCCAGATCATTACTTTCTTTATTTTTAATTTTTTGTCGATTTGTTTTTTTGTTATTTTATTCCCTTTTTTTTAAAGTTCTTTCTTTTGTGAAAAACATCAGTTCATATTTTCTTATTTTTAAGTCGGTAAGATCGAAAAATATTATGCATATTTAATTACTCAGTAATTTGTATCTAAATGTAATTTCCAAAATACACGATTTACAAAAAAAAAAAAAAAACAAACCGAGCAAAGCTCGGTCCTCCGGGTACTATATATATATATATATACAAGAATTGCTCGTTTAAAGGATAAGATATTATACATAGGATGAAATGTCACAAAACATATAAGTATTGTGTTGTTGCTTGATTATCACATTTTTGTTTAAGTTTGAGAACCATTGTTTTTTTATCTACCTTAGAAGGCGAAGTGATTCAGATAACAAAATCATATAGTTAATATTTCGGCTGTTGCGCTGCCCTACCACAATTAAATATACTACACTTTTTAATTAAACTCAAAATATCTCATTACTACTTAAAATTATAAGATACTGTGATTAATTAAAATAAAAATTCTCAAGGCTATTCGCTACAATGGAACGGTGAGCAGTTAATTTAGACGAGTGCTTGCTACCAGTTTTTATGACAGGTAATGTGCTCATCGCTATTGTCGACGTACGTAATTTTTGTTCTATGCAAGCAGACATTTTATTGACAGATCGTAGAAGTATTTAAGATTTCTTGCTTGTATCTTGTATTAACTGATGTTTTTGCTTTCAAGACCCAAGACTATTACAGATTCATCTGGCGCAGAACCGGTGGGCTAGCCAGAACCCACGGGTCGAGATTTCTTGATCAAGCGTAACTTCCAATTTATTACTAACACAGAGGTTTTACCTGGTATGAGTGCAAATTAATTCACGTGTAAGATTCAGTTCGGTATGTGTTTTAAACACGACGGAGAAAGCATAACGAACAGTTAATTCTCGAGTTATTTTTATTTTCCAACATAAACTCAATTTCTCTCCACGGTACGATTCTATGTTTAATTGGAATTTCTATTTTTAGTTCGCCTAAATACAGTAACTGTGACACAGCAAAATTCAAATCCATACTTTCAATTTAATATTATAACTATGTCTGTCTGTCTCGCTTTAGAGATCTACTGAACCGATTTAAATAAAATTTGGTACACAGATAGTCTAGAGCCGAAGAAAGGATATAGGATATTTTTTAATTGGAAAAAGGGTTATAAAGGGTTCTTAAAGGGGATAGATATTTATTTCAGGACTTCGACGCAAGCGAAGCCGCGGGCGAAAAGCTAGTGGTATATATAGACAAGTAACGGAATTTAATGTATTGAAATTATTTAATATGTGTAACGTGTTCTGGTCTGTTTCTGATCTGATCATAGAATATTCTTTATCAGTTTCGATTCCTTACAAAGTCAGGGTTAAAACAATTTACTCACTCTCCACTTGTTTAAGAATCATTTAACTCGTGCTACACAATTAATTCGGCAACGTTAACAAATCGCAGTATATTTGGCACCCATTGTAAGGATACTGGGAGTAAAGAACTCTGTACTTTTTGTAATTCAACTCAACTCTGTACTATGTAATTTTTGTAATTAAAGAAAATACGAAAAAATTCTGCAAGGGAAAAGGCGGCGTCACCTCATTTTGATTGGTTAACGCTGCATACAGAGATCAACAATCAAAATAATGGGCTTGCATATGCGGTACCAAACTTTAAAAAGTAGCTGGTAATCGTGGTAAGGCGGTAGTCCAGGCAAACCCATTTACCGGACGAAACGCAAAACTATTCCATAGGTAAATCTATTCAATATAGTCTTGACATCTTAGGTCTTCAAAACTGAACGACATTAGACGCATAAAGATGAACAGTATTAAAAATGCTTCGTGGTATTTATTTGTGAGCCACGTCAACCTTGAGGAAGATCTATTAGAAAAACCTTAAGCGCCCTATGCTAATATTACACGAACGAACATAGCAAACATATTTGTTAAATCATGTTCGCACGTCGCCGACATGTTAAATGTAAACTTTGTTATCTCTAATTACTTAAATCCACGCTGTATGCTATTAAATACCTTTACCGTACACGGAAGGTTATTGTCTTGCATTGGGAAGTCAAACGCGAGTCGAGAACCCGTTTTTAATTCTAAAGTCACATTAATTAATTCACCAATAAAAACAAAACATCGCTATAACTGAGAAAACAAAATAAGCTAGGCTTTTTTCGCGTCCAGTGGCTGCTTTTACGCTGTTCCATTTCGATAATTTAAGGTTAGCTGCAAAAATGGCGGGAAAATTGTCACAAGCGATGTTGCCAACCTACGCTAATGTATATCCGCATTGACGGCTGTTAAACGTGCGTGTTAACAATACATGTAATTTATTCCCGTGTTACATCACGAGGCACATTAGATAATTTCATGGCTCGTCCGTCTGTTGTTTCACAACTATTATATTCCCATGTCCTCGCTTGTTATTGATTACTCTTTTGTTTTCTATTTTTAAAATTGGCTCTCGTTACGTATGTCATAGAATAGGAATTCGGCCCCACTAAATAATTAACGAACTTACTTCGTTGTTTGGTACTGGAAAAAATCATGGAATCCACCGATTCAGCAATATCAAATTATTCGTAAAGGACGCTGGTTTAAATCCCATTAAACTTTTATATTTATCACGAGCAGTGCTTGCTTGTACGTGTCAGTTATAGTTCGATGATATCTGTGAAATGATATAGTATCAAATATTTATATAGCCTGACGCTGTTGTTAGCTAATTTCAGTTTCAGTTAAGGTATAATAGCAGGCGGTGCAGATATGGTGCAGGTAGTGGTGTAGTAATCCATGGGCACCATATTGTTGCATTTGTAGATGTGTTGCCAAACTTTAAAAACAGTGGGCCATGGCTAGCTGACATCTCACTGGTTGCATTGACCTAACACAGTAAAACATGTAATGAAGAGGTTCCAAGTGTAAGCGGCGTTTTTGCAGGGCGCACTGGAAATGTCTGCCACGTGGACATGGAGTGCCCAGACAACGCCTTCTGCAGGCAGAGCAGCTATTGCGTGTGCAAAGACGGCTTCGTGTACGCGGCCGTTAACAGCACTCACAAAGGCTGCTTGAAGGGTAAGTGAATGAAGTAGTTTAGAGAGAACGTTCAAGTAACACGACAAAAGCAAAACTAAACTATAAATATTTCGGACATCCTCTTAAAATTTTATTCTTATTCACTTTGTTAAGAGACTAAAACCTAATTTAGTGAACGATCTTTGTGTCGCCAGGGATGACATAAAGTTCAATGCTTATGTTTATAAACGATTTCAATCTAGCTCGTTTTCTAGTACGCTAATATAAAAATAATATAATCATAATTATCATTGCAATTCAAAAATCTGTTGAGTGGTTTGTCTTTCTATTTAAGCAGCGACCGGACGAGGTATCTTACAGACAATTGGCCATGAACAAACAGTACTTTAAAGTATCGTAGTTACTGTATAAAATAAGTTATTATTGCTTGACCATACAGCTTGGACATCCAATTTCACAGAGGCACGAATTGGGGAGGAGTGCGTGCAGCATATTCAGTGCCACTCGACGATGGGGGTGCATTCGGAATGCGCGGCTGGCGTGTGCGCCTGCGCGTCTAACGCACACCTGGAAGATGACCGATGCTACGAAAGCGCTGGTGAGTGTTTATTACGATCGCAGCGTACTGGATAGTGAATCTATCTCTTCCGCTAGAAGGTATGGATTCGATACCCACTACTGGTATATATATTACAGGCTTTGCTTAGTGTGGGGCTAGACAACATTGTGTAAAAATATCTCCTGAAAAAAAAAAAAATATATATATATATACCAATATGAATATATATATATATATATATATATATATATATATATATATATATATATATATATATATATATATATATATATATTCATATTGGTATACAGTTCCATTTCAGTACAGCTTAACTTACTTAGTACTACAATAACTTAATGATTAATGCAACTCATCTCTAAAATGACCGCTCCCATAAAAGTATGTTACTAAATCTGGTGGTGCCATATTGCTGACGGTTTAAACGAGGATACCTAGTCTCCATAACTCTAGACTAGTTCATAAATTCTGCGATTCGTATGTGAGATGTTTTTGATCCACGATTTAGTTTGTTAAATTAATCGGTAAATGTAAATAACTTTAACTCCGGCGTAATTCAAATCAAATAAATTTTAAACGATATAGAAAAAACCACTTATGAATTTATCAACAAGCAGAATTCGGGGGTCGCTTATAGTTTTCGAAAAAATAAATAATGAAAGTGTGATTTTTACTATAGAAATCCGCCATTTTTTTGTTATCAATATGTCAATTCAGCTCGTATTTATTGGTGGTCATAAAAAAAAACCTAAACTCGAAGGTTAAGGCGGGAGCTCCGCTCCCGCCTGAACCTTCTAACCTAATCTATCCGAGTCGGATTCGCTCTGTATCGGTTCTGTGACTCATTAAATTAAAAAAAATCGGAATATCGATACGTGTATGATGTCGCCCGCTTCCTATATTTATCATGTTGGCAGAACTGTGTATTGAGTTTTTGAAGTCAAACAAATAAAATGGTGGATTTCTTAGTACAAAAAACATATTTTTTTCTCGAAAACTATAAGCGACCGCCAAATTCTGCTTGTTGATTAATTCATTAGAGATTTATCTCTATCGTTTAAAATTTATTTTAATTGAATTACGCTGGAGTTAAAGTTATTTACATTTACCAATTAATCTTTTAAATGCATCTGCATCTATGTTTAGGATTAAATTTGTGTTTCCTCGTTTTATATACAAACGTAAGGGAGAATATGAAAATTCTGGAATGACTCTGAAAATAGTCCCCCAATAAAAAGCTGTGTTCCTGGTTAACTTGGGGGTATATTTTTATCTATTTAAGAAATGATGTTTAATAATAGATAACGCGAGTCCATACTGCGTGAAGTTTAAAATTGTTCCATTTTTCATTATATGAATGTGACAGGTGATATAGAACGTATTATCCGGAAAGAGATGGCAATGTATAGAAATGCAATATAATTACACTAATTGGTGAGATTTTAGCGCCTCAGTTTCGGTGTCATATCTATATCTTATTTGTATATAATATCATTGTATTTAAGATAATTAAGAAATCCTAATATTTGTTTATCAACTCTAAAGAAAAGTCTTGACAAATATTTGACAGTTGTCAAGCCAACAAATAAAGTATGTCAGCGTGTTTGACATTATAAGATAGTGTTACAATTGCTCAATTTACTTTAATTTAGTATACAATTTTTATATTTGCTAAATTTTACAAGAATAATCAAAGCAGTATCAATTTATAGATTTTTCTGTTTTTTATAAAATTACCTCATAGACTGCAACATTCACAGCAAAAGGCCACTTATGATTTCATATTTGCCGTACTTCTTGGCGCCTATACAGAAATAGTGACTTCTTTCTAAAAATTCAAGCTTTATAGCTTAGACATTGTACCAGCAATTAATTAAAAAATGAGAACTCTTGCTGCAACATAAAAGTTCATACCGTTCGTTAACTACGATTTCATACGTGTTCATTTCGATGAAGCGTATAAAAAATTCAATTCTTTTCAATTAATTCAGCCACTTACACTAGCATTTCGTACAAACGCTTAGGAATTGTTAGTTAATATATTCGCTGATATTTTTCTATATATATATATATATATATATATATATATATATATATATATATATATATATGTATATGTTGCATATCTCAGTGATTGGTGACCGATGCGTGGTGGACCAGAACTGCTACCTGGGCGAGCAGACTTCAGAGAGGCAGGCTTTCTGCGTCAGGGGTTACTGCACTTGCCAACTGCAGTTTAGCCCACGAGACAACGGGACTAGGTACTTTCAAAGCCCCGACAAATTAAGTTTCACTTCAAGTAATAACTACCTTTTTTTTTCTACAAATTCTAATATTCTATCTCACATTATCACAAATAGAAAGAAATACTCTGCTTTATATTATGCCTTTTTATTATTTTTACATTTGTAACAGCTGGTCGTTTATCAGTTTTACGGTTCTTATAAAACAATATTACCAAAATCACGAATCCATGAATGGCGTACCATGTCAAATTAGGAATAAAAGAAGCAATTGTTTTCAGCTTTTTTTGGATTTTAGTTTCAATCTAACCATGTACGAGAAAGGTTTAGGGCATTATTTTCTATTATGCTGCTGAGACGGGCATCAAATCTTGGGTTTCTCGAACGGAACCAATAAATAGAGGTCTCACACACTGGATTGGCATGACACCGGAATGGGTGTGTGTTTGGTTTTGAGTATCTGATTAGTTTTGAATTGGTTTTAAAGAAGTATCCGTTCCATTTTGGCTTCATTTTAACGGAGTATCCGGTTCATTTTGGATTGGTTTATAAAGTATCCGGTCCATTTCGGGTTGGTTTCAACGGATTATCCGGGCAGGTGCGTCCGTGACGCGGCGCTCGGCGAGGCCTGCGAAGACGAGCTGCAGTGCGCCGGCGCCGGTCTGCAGTGCCGCGGCACGTGCCGCTGCCGCGACTCCTGGGTGGCGCACGTGGAGACCAACTCCTGCGTGGAATGTGAGTTCCCCGCCCATAACATGTCTTTGACCCTACTGCCGTAACAGCTTCTGTTGTTCCAAGAATGGGCAGGCTCGTCCGTACCATGACCAGGCTCGTCCGTACCATGGCCAGGCTCGTGCGTACCATGGCCTCACAACACGGCGTGAAGTGGAAGTAATATACTGTCGAGTTTCCTGGTGAGTGATTAAACCGGGCTCACGTTTTTAAAGCTTTTCAACGGATCTGCAAGCCTTCAGGCAGTGTAGATGCTGCGGTACTCACTTAACACAGGTGCACCGTCTGCTCGCTTGACAACTTTTCACATAAAAAAATCCTGCTTTTTGGTTTCTCTGCCACATGTTTCAATTTTGCTTTCTCTCAATCACTTATGTCAGACTTTAAAATTGTCGTAGGCCAGTAAGGAATTCTATCGTTTTACTTTATATAATAAGCTTTACATGGTAATTTTAGTTATATGCATTACGTTCGTTGGTACGACGTTTGAGTTCCTTTAAATCCTTTTTTTAGTTCTACACTACCAGTAGCAACTTAATATTTACAACCGTTAGAAATGCCGTAACTTATATACTACAGTAAGTTAAAATAAAATAATTTAACAAAAACACCGGAAACCAAGTAGAAATCAATCCTCAACACATACGAAAGCAGTAATAATCGATTATTAAAAATTCGCTATGTGAAATTAGTGCGATGTTTTGTCCCTAAGTTTCCTATAACGTCATGAAAAATCAATACTTCTGTTACAAATAATTGTGCTAGAAACAGTCACGTCAAAATTTCCTATCCGAAACTAGGACCTTTCAGCGGATAAAGCGCTAATATTTTCACACCGTTCAATCTCAACCCGCACCGGCAGCCGTGAAAGGGCTTAACGAGCCCTGCGAGTACGACGTGCAATGCGACGCGCTGTCGGGAACCGCTGACGCTAGGTCCCCCGGCGCCACTCTGTGCCTGGGCGGGACTTGCGCGTGCGCGTACAGCGCCCGCGCCGCCGGCAACCCGCCGAGGTGCTGGCACCGCCGCCGCCCTGGCCAGGAATGCAGGCGGGACGAGGTTTGAACACACGACATTTATCGTTACCATCATTAGCCAACTGACCACGATAACACATCAACCGTGACGGTACACCACCACTATCATAACCATTGGACACACGACACGATACATCACCACCGTCATGAGCAAATGACCACGATAACACATTTATGGCGGTACATAATCACAATAAAACATTCATCATGATGATCAATCATTGATACCACAAGTTGCTAGTTCACTCATGCGTTTTCGCTAGCGCGAAATATATAATATAGATAATATATAATGATTTCAATAACATATACAGTTCGTTACAATTTTCTTACTCTCGTCGACTTCTTATTACGGACGAAATGTTTTACATAACTAATCGCAATGGCGTACCATGGTAGATCGTACTCACTGACAGCTCACGTCACTCTCTTATGGCTCGATACGTTATCACTAGCACAAGTATAACGTAATACCCTACGTAGTAACCTAACGTAGTAACCTAAATAAAGAATTAGTTATGGTACAACTTATCCAATATCACCAAAGTTGCTTGGTTACTTGTCACAGTTTATAATGACGGACACGGAATCGTACGATGCATATGATACAATTCATTAGCAACACGAAGTTTAGCAACTGGCATACAAATCTTCACTTAGGCCTTTGGCTGTTGTACTAATGGGTCCTCGATGTGAAGTTGAAGTGTTAATCATATTTCAGAGTTTCGTCTGTGGAAGAGACCGGTGAACCTCTCTTAGTGGTTAGTAAATACGCAAACACAATTGTGATGTGTTCATCGGCGGCAGTAAACCCACACCGTCAACCTCATCTTAGCCATCAACTCTTAAAGCAAACAGGATCCGTCATACGAATTAAAACGCCTCACAGCATTCATCACTTACATTAAACACGAAAGTACATCACTACGCGAGCATTTTACAAATGATAGTCTATTAAAACCAGCAAACAATTTTATTTGAAGAAATTTCGATTAACAACAAAAATCGTAAAGTATAAAACATTGAAACGTTAACTAACATGCAAAATTATATGCTATTCTCTCCCAGGAATGCGTATCGGAGGAAGATGAGCCGGGATACTGTCTATCCGGTCGCTGCACTTGCAAAACCTGCTCGCCCGACGCAAAGGACTTTGGTAGCGGCGCGGGAAATCTGCGGCCGCCATTGCTCGCGTCCGTCGTGCTATATGCCGCCATCTTGAGGCACTAGCATCGCCGGTTCTGCCGGGGCGTCCGAAAAGATCACCAGTGTAAACGGGGAGTAAGATTAATTTAAAAAAAAAAAAAGTACAACATTTTTAACAAAGGGAGAAAAAGATATTTGTGGAATATTTTTTTTTCTTGGATATTCCGCAACAGTTTGGTAGGTTTGAAATTATTGACTCTAAAAAAAAAATCATTGTATTCCCAAATACGTAAGAGGCAGATGTATTTTTTTGAGATATTTGGCAATAGTAAATGGGTTTGAAATTCTTGGCTATAAAAATATCAAAGTAAACTCAAATACGTATGAGGCAGAATAAGGTCAATGGCATATTTAAAAAAAACTGTTTCAGATAGAATTTCACCAGGGTGCTTACTCTACTGCAACTTAAGTTCCAATAACGAGATATTTTGATAGAATAATAATACACAATAAGTAATTGCTATTTCATAGATGAATTTTTAATTTAAGTGAAAATAATAAGAAAGTATTCGCTGTTACATATTTTAAATGTTTATAATGATCAAATGAGAACTTTGTTGATATAATTTAATTTATACTAACGATAAACTAGTTATTTTTAGGGAATTGTTGCACAATTTAGTATTTAGGTTGTTGAACTATATATAGTTTATTCGGAGATTTATGACTAAGCTGTAAATAAAAATGAAATTGTTGTTCGTTGTTACACCGTAGGTAAATTTCCATTACAAATATATCGTGTCTGTAAACCATTCCTTTTAGCCCCTAAAATGCAGTATTTTTCGAGTGCAATTTATTGAATTACATTCTAAAATCACATAGGTAATATGAATGGGTAGTTTTTGTACCAAAGAAATATACACGATTATGCTAATATGTAAATAAAGTGTATGTATTTTAATTGTTGTTTCATTGCGTTGTATTCTTCTTAATATTAAGTACTGTACCCTTAATAAAACTAATCGGTAATAAAACTTAACACAACTCGGGCTAAGTATTACGTTTTATTATAGATTTCGCCTATATTTCACCTAGCTCAAGTGAATCTCGTCAGTAGTTCTGGCAACAAATGTTTTTTTTATTTGGAAACAAATATTGAGATGTGGAACAATAATTATGGGTCTCACAAATAATGCGCTGTGATATCTTAGAATCCGGGCGCTCGCTTTGAATTCAATATACTCGAGCAACGAGAATTCAATTGCCGGTGCCCTCACCTATGAAATTGTTAATTACAATTTTAATTTCTGACTTATCACGTGCTCGGCGGCGAATGAAAACATCGTAAGGAAACCCGCATATTTTCGAAATAATAACGAAAAATATTTCGAAGATATGTGAAGTCCGCAAAACCGCAAATCCCTCTGTACAGAGGATGCCTCTGCCCAGCAGTGGGACATATATAGGCTATATTACTTTACTAATAAATAAATATAATAAAAATATATGTTAGGACACATTTTTACACAACGTTCTCTAGTTCTAAACTAAGTAACGATTGTACTATGGCTACTAAATAACTGATAAACACTTTTATTTTTTTATAAATAAATACACATTATATATATAAACACCCGATACTAGAAAAACATTATGTTCATCACACAATTATTTTCCAGTACGCCATTCTGGTAGTCAAATACTCGTCCCGTTTAGGAAAAATGTGTATTCTCCATGTATTTAAATCGATTTTTTGATTAGATTTGAGCAGGCTCGTCCGGGTAAGTACCACGACCTCGTAGAAGACGGACGTAAAGTAGAAAGGAAGTATAATACTTTCGCGTTTCGTCTGGTGAGTGAGGTGGCCGGAGCCCGAATTTCAAAAGGTCAACGCGTCTACAACCCTCGGGTATATCAGATATCCATGGGCGGCGGTATTCACTTAACATCAGGTGAACCGTCTGCTCGCTTGACAACTTTTCACATAAAAAAAAAAATAGAAGCGACACATGGCACCTTTTAGGCGCGTCTCGCACACGGCGTCATCGGTATGTCCGCGTGGTGGGTGCTGCTCGTGGCCGCTACGGAGGCCCTTAAGGCCTGGCGCACACTGGGCGACGCGGCGGCGTACACCATCGGGTTGAGGGCGGAGTTCACGTAGCCTAGCCACGTGCACCACTGCCACGTGGGGTCCCACACGCACTCGCACAGGGAATCTTGAAATTTGTTCGTTAGGGTTGAAATTTCGCAGGTGGCGCGGCCACGGAGCAGTCTTCGCCGTTGCAGTCGAATTCCGTCGAAAATTGCCGTCGAATCGGCAGGCCGTCCGGGCAAGTACAACGAGCTCACAGAAGACCGGCGTGGAGTGGAAGTGTTACACATCTGCGTTTCGTTTGGAGTGGCTGTTGAAAATTTTTCTAGTTGAAAAACCTCTCAACCGACTTCAAAAATAGAGGTTCTCAACTCGGTTGCATTTTTTTGTTTGTTACGCCAGAGCTCCGTTATTTATGAAGCGATTTAAAAAATAATAATAATGCCGTGTGCCACGTGAGAGTTAAACTAAACCCAATGCAAAAATTTTAAGTCTGTTTTTCTTTTAATAAAAAACGGAATTATTTCATTTTTAGCGGCGAAAAATTTTTGGACATTTTATAGTTTCCCCTTAAGACACACAGTCCGACTTTGGTAATCCTTTTTTTTAAGGAAAATGCAAAAGCATTAAAGTATAAATACATAAACAATTATCATGCCCTGTGGCATTTTTCGCGACGATGGTAAGAGACCCGACGGTTTAACATTGATCCCTTGGGAGAGAGTCAATGCCCTTGTTTGGGACGCCACTTGTGTGAGACACTTTGGCTGTCTCTCATCTAAGGGGTACTTCGGTCAGGGCCGGGGCGGCATCGGAGGCAGCTGAAGTAAATGGCGCAAACATGAGTCTTTATGTTTAGATTATGTATTTGTGCCATTTGCAGTTGAAACTTTAGGTCCGTGGGGTCCCCGCATTTCAAAATTTTTTAAAAGTTTATGTCCTAGGCTTAACGCCGCGGCTGGTGACAAGAGAGCTTATTCTTTTCTCGCTCAAAGGTTAAGTATAACTATTCAGCGAGGAAATGCAGCTAGCGTTCTTGGCACCATTCCGCGTGGATTAATATGTAATTTTAGATAGATTTAATCTTGTAAACATTAGATCAATAAAAATTGTAAATTTCATTATCATATATGTGAACTTGAGAGTCATACATATTTTTATTTAAACCAGACAACGCTCTAAATTATTGTGGACAATTCAAATATCATACTTCACTTCTGGTTTGCTTGATGTCATAAATGGGCTATATTCCTTACCGACTGGTAGCATCACGAAGAAAGGAGTCCAACAAAGCAGGAAGAGAGACATGAGCATAACTATAGTGCGGGTCGCACGCCGCTGTCTGGTGCTGATTCCTTCCCTGCAATAATAATGCTATATTAATAATATAAGTTTAACTACTTATAAAACAAATCGATTTTTTATTTTTACGCAAATATTTTACATGGTTAAAAGAATTTAAAAATCAAAATTTCCGACGTTTCGAACCCTTTTCGTTCATGTTCTCGGGACAGTTCAGTCTGTAAATTAATTCGTAAAAATATTTAAAAAGAAACAAAAATATTTAACAATACTTATAAAATAGGTTGACACTTTAGCATCTGCAATACTGTTACATCTCATAAACTTTATGAGGTCACGATTGCAGAGATCTCTTTGCATCTAGCAGCAGCAACTAATTTCGTTGCAGAGTGCATGCTATGAAGGGACTAAGTTAATCGGGGGATTTAAAAAAATGTAGCAGTTACGTCATAGCTTTACGCAAGCTTAAATATAAATAGGCAGGGTGGCTTTTAAAAAAAAACGAACAAGGAAAGCGAGAAAAGTTTCGAGTTTGTTTTATAGGATTCAAACACAAAACAAAAGAGGTTGAAAATAAATTATAATAAAATTCTCTTCTTCAGTTAATTAAAGTTTGAAATTAAGTTTTAATCAATTAACTTTTCATCGGCTTCACGATTTGTTTCTGCAACACAAGTGTAACCCCACCCCGTGTGAAGACTCCATGAGCGGTTGTGATTACTAAGCATCAGGTGAATGATCTAAAAGGCTAACTGGCTAGTCTATAATTTTAAAAAAATTACTCAGCGTCACACTTCGTCGGAGATGGCTGAAAATTATTATTCGTAGTAGGCACGTTCAGATGACAGCATTTCGGCGTTAGGAGTCTGCAATTAAAATTAAGGTATTTAAGGCTATATGGCTGGTTCTTTTCTCGCTCAAAAAAGCATTACTATTCAGGTTTATTAGTTACTATGAAATTTAGCTGTATTTAAAATAAATAAAATTGTAAATATTGTTTCAATTTAATAAAACCCTTCGTATATTTATTTCAATTTACAAAGTGTTATTAAATTATTTTACTGATTACTTACATTGCACTAGTTACGGCTGGGATTTATACCCAATATATTCATAGTATTAATCTTTAATCCAATTTCTATTAAGATTTTACATTACTTACTTAAACTCATCATTATTTCTTTTGATTTAAATTATTTATCACAATAATTATTATTATTTTTTTATGTGAAAAGTTGTCAAACGAGCAGACGGTTCACCTGATGTTAAGTGAATACCGCCGCCCATGGACATCTGCCTCACCCGGGGAATACAGATGCGTTGACAACCTTTTGAAAATTGGGCTCCGGCTACCTCACTCATCAGTAGAAACGCGAAAGTATTTGTCATACTTCCACTTTACGCTGGTCTTCTGTGAGGTCGTGGCACTTACCCGGACGAGCCTGCCCATTCGTGCAACAGCCGAGGCTGCTGCGTGGCCCTGCCACCGTTAAATTGTTTTATCATTAATCATTAATCATAGTGAACTAGTGGTCAAAATTAGTTTGTAATCTATTGAAATAAAAACAAAAATGTAAAAAATGACCGTTCTTACATGGTTAACTTTTGCGGTGCAAGTGTTCCTATTGGAGCCGGTGTACTGCACCTGGTCATCTGGCCATTTGCCTGAAAAAGAAGTAAGATCAGGATGTAGGGCATAAAATTGCAATAAAAATTCTGTACTGTACGATATACATGCACTTCGATAAACACAAAGAAACTCCCTGTTTGATTGTTTGTCGTATTTTTTTTACATTCCTGAATTAATTACCATATTTCCTAAATGGAGAAACGGAGAAATTGGGAGCAGTTTCTCTATGCAAATATTACTTACTCTTTTACATGGGAGGTCGCACGACAAGCTTTTATGATCTACTAGTTGAACCGTGCCAAATATTCGCACAGTACTGTCAGCTGTCAACGAATGATAACATAATATTGCGTACTAGTACTTATTTTTAGTCAGAATTTGCAATCGTGATCTTTAAAATGGTGTTTGAGTCGTTAAATTTGTTAAAGAATTATGGAAGTTACGGCGTACCGACAAAAAGAAAACAAAGCTGTGTCCGATGTAAATTTTTCCTTTTTAGAGCATTTAAATGAAAGCTATTTTTCAATAATTAATTTCTTTAGATTAAATTTCCCAATACTTAATAAGAAATTTACTTAGCGGACAAACGCCTTACAGTTATAGAATTCTCATAATAGATTGCTCACCGTATGCCCAACCTCAGGAGCGGGCGTGCGCCCTCTGTGGGCGCGGATGGGAGGCGCGGTGGCCAAAGCGCGAACGATACACGTGTAGAGACCCACCATGACCGCTGCCGGCACGTAGAACGACAGGGCAACACTGAAGAACACGTACCTGCGGAGGCACAACGCATTCAGACACCAAAATCAAGATATTTCAAGACGAGTATTGTGCGATGTCGCCAATAATCACTATTTTCTTGAAAACACACATTGTAATGGGACGGAAATATTTCCGCTGAAGTTATTTCAGTTCGTTCTTGTAAACATTACGAAAGAAGAGGCAAATTGTTGCGTTGAACAGCTTTATTCAACAGCAGACATCGACGCGCACTACCCTATGTAAACTAAAAGTCAACCAAGCGCTTGAACCTCATAGTGGTTTCATGACCATAACAAAACCATTTATTGTATAACAGATTTAATCCGTTACCATTATCTTATATTTTTTTACAAGTAATCCAGCATCCCTTAATAATTCCTTTATTCTTTCTATATATAGAAGATAAGATAGAATATAAGTATCTAAGTATAAAACTGTCTAGTAAGGACCGGAGAAAATAGGCTCAAAGCTTACCGTCAGGGAGGTTGTTAAAACCATCTGACGAAACTACGACACCTCTACCACTGACGCAACTTGATCTCTTATCAAGACGTGAGTGTTAAATGCACTCTTATTTTGTACCGTACCCGATATTCGTGTTTACGGTGCACGCCTTCGCCAGCTCCTCCGGCTTGTGGTGGTACGGTGACGGCACGAAGACTGTGGGCAGCGCCACCAGTGTGGCCGTTGGCCAGACGAGCAGGGAAAGTAGGCGGGCTCGCCTGGCTCGTCTGTCTCGAGCCAGTGGCGCGGTGATGGCGCACCACCGCTCCCAGCCCAGCACGCATAAGGACAGGATGGACGCCGTGCAACACAACACATCCATAGTGCTCCAAAACGAGCATAAACTCCAATCTAGTAGAAAATAATTATCTTAAAACATTTATATATACAGATAGATACATCGGTTTTCAGTTTCCTCAAAAATTATTTTCAATGTATCGTATCTTACACTAGAAGCCCTTAAAAAACCCTCTTTTTATGCATATATTTTTTTAATAAAAAGAATTCCTTTTTTATACCTCTAAAAACATGTGTACAAAGTTTCATGATAGTTGGTTGAGTAGTTTTGGCGTGAAAGCGTAAGAAACATACTTCACATTTATAATTTAAGTATGGATTACATAAAAAAAATTATACTAAAATTTATAAATATAAATTTGTTTGGAGCTCATGAATGTCAGATATATGTGTCAAGTTAAGGAACTAAAACACTTAAGTTATATATGAGACTGAATGTTCCACAAAACTATTCTATGATTTTTGAAAAAAAAATTGAATTCTTAAATCTTACAGTCATTGAAATGGAAATAGTTTAGGGGTAAGTAAAAATAAAATCGAGAAAAAGGCCTAACTTAATTAATTGCAAGCATTTCGTAATTGTTCCTTTTCCACTGAATAGATATGGTAAATGTAAAAACCGCAAACAGTACAAGACATCCCGTACAATTTGCATTGTTCGCACAGAAAAATACTAATTTCGTCTATTTCGATCCATACCCAAGTGGAACACGAAGAGTTCTCTACCAGTGGCGATTGGCAGCACTGTCAGCCCCACGAGTAGGTCGGCGGCCACCAAACTCGTGAGGGGGTAGTGGGAGGGCGCCCGCCGCACGCGCCACAGCGCCGCCATCACCACCACGTTGCCCACCACCGTGGTGACCGTCACCAGCACCATCGCGGCGGCGGTGGCGCACCACCAGACGGTCACGTCGCCGCGCGTGCTCAGTGCACCCACTGTTCACTGGCCGAACATTCGGATCAGGCATACAATGAAATGGGCACGCCGCCATAACCTCTTTTTAACCGACTTCAAAAGGAGGAGGCTCTCAATTCAACCGTATTTTTTTCTTTTATGTCTGTAACCTCAGAATTATTTGACTGATTGAATCAATTTTGATGACTCTTTTTTTATTTGAAAGCTGGTGTTTCCCATGTGGTCCCATATTAATTTCATTGGTATTGGGTCTTGGGCTTTTTGACGGATTGCAACATAAGCGGTGTCAATAAATTCGCGTTAGTTGCGAGTGACATGGGGTATATAATTTCAATATGTTGTCCGTAAAAGAATAAATAGAGGAATAATTAATAATTTTTGTTCTCTTCTCAACAAAAATTATCTCGTGTCACTCCCATGACTGCCTTGACATTGGCAGAATTCTATAAAGCGAAGCCATAAAGAAAGAAAGAATAAGACTAATATTTTTAATGTATTTGAAATTTTTGTTTTTCCTTAATAATTTAAGCTTGTTATGTGCCATAAAGAGATGATATACTCCAAATTGTAAAATAACTATAGATAAACGTTATTTTCAAATAACGTTTTGTTCTTTGTACTAGAATTCAAAGTCAGTTACGTTAAATGTAATAAAACATAATTATAAATTTTTCACTTACTATTGTCTTCATTCACAACTCAAAATCCCATGTTTGAAATGTTAAAATCACAATGCACAACATAGGTATTTTTACCACATTTATTCCTTTATCAGTGCCTAACTGTTTTAGGGATGAACGCTGGTAAAGTTCATGCGGGTAGATAGGAGTTAACCACACTATTGTACCTTCCAATAAAATTTTAATTAATAGGAGACGTTCGCAAATAGTCAAATGATTATATTTTTAAAAATATATTGTAAAATTGTCACTATCTTTGGCTACTTAATAATTGTTTGAGCGATTAGTTATCATATAATTTCTGAATAGGTCGATCGATTGAGGCCATAATTAACACGTTGTATCGAAACTGCCTTAACTTCTAAGAGACAGCGCCATCTACCAAAATGGGAGCGACAACATCTGCCGGCCAGCTGAACCAACTCAATATTAGAGTAAATTATGTAATAACCACTATCTACTGTGTAGAGTCTACTGTTATACGACTCAATTGGTCTAGTGGGTCCTGCCTCTTTAACCCTGCCTCTTGCGTCAGAGGTGTGAGTTCGATCCCCGCTACTGGAAGAATATTGTGTGATGATTATAGTGATTTTGAAAAATCACTATAATCATCACACATCCTTTTTTGCGTAACAAAAGAAAAAAGAACTTTTTTTATTTCGTGTGCCAGTTCTTTTTGTTTGTGAAAAAGACAATAAATGCAACTGATAACGATATAATTAATTAACTTTAATTAAATATAGGTAAATATCGAAAAGTTGTTATTGGTTGCCATATTTTTACCGGTGCAACTAACTTCATCATGTCGCTTTTTGGCAGACTGTGCGTGCGCAGGGTAAAATTTTTTTTCCAAGCACCAAAAGAAGTATATTTTCAAAAATACATTCATTGGAATTTTTTGAAAAGATTTATTATCATCAAGAAACGTAAATGCAAGATATTAATATACTTATATCGTATTGTTTCTTAAATATATATAAAAATAAAAAAAAAACAAGTATAGAATTTACTCATTTATTGTCAGTTACGGGGAAAACATTTGAAAAAAAAATTTCAATCTTCCTCAAACTTTAGATTCTTACAGTGAAATGCATTTGATAAAAATTAATATTGATAAAATCTATTTACAAGCAACTTATACTAAGCCCGTCTTATTCTACGAAATGTTTAAATTACAAAAGTCCCTACGCTTACAGCTAGGTTCAAGGCACGCGAGATATTGTCTTAACAAGCTTTGTGCCCCGTTTTACACGTGTTACAAGTTTTTTTTTCGTGTGCCTAATGTTGTTTCTACATTTAAAGGTCGTCCGATGTTTTTGTCGTATTTATATTAAACAATCATTCTAAATTACGTGAAACGTTAGTACATCAATACGATATATGATCGGGATTTAAAAAAAGGAATCGTATCGTGCTTTACGGACAACCATTGTACTTTAAAACATCAAATTTTTCAACATCAACCGAAGGACATATTACCATATAACGTTGCTTAGAAATCCTTAGAAGAATGCATTTAAAGGAAGCACACGATTCGCTTAATGTATCCTACTTATTGCTACTAGTAATACACAGTTATCGTTACAACAATTCATTATCTGTGGAATAATTTTGCTGATGTGTTTTTAAAAGACTTTCATAATTATCAATTCCTTTACGTTGAACTTTGCTCATTGGCACATTATAATGACACAGACATAAAAAAAAAACTATAAAATTCATACTAAAAACCTACGATTACTCTAAGAAGATCATTTCAAGTTCGGACTCGTTAAATATATTTTTTTTAAAAGAAGATACAATTTAATATTTACAATATAGAGGGCGCGGATGTTCCGACATTGATCGAAAGTTTTATAAACTCAGTAAGATCACTTAGCGATTATATAATACAATTAAAGTGAAACACATTGGAAATGTTTAAAAATTTCATTTGTAACAAATTGAGCATAGAATGGTCCACAAACGTACACGTTTTTAAAGCGACAATGGAATGATGAGATCTCGACTGTACACAGAGTACGCGTCTAAACAATACTGGAACGATTCTGCGGCGGAAATAAGAACTGTGAATTTTACATTAATAACAGGACAAACAACACATTTTTATATATTTATTTAGTTATACATTTGACAACGTTCACGCATATTCCGCCACATAGAATGTTTGGAAGATTAACTGGAATGATTCATACAAGCGGAAGAGATGGGGCCTAAATCACTCAAACTAAGGTTGATGCTATGTGCGATTGAAGTCGAATAGACCTTACTTTTTTAAATAAATACATAATTATCGCTGGAGATAAACACGATTTGGAAATAATTGACTACGTCATGCATCAATCTTAGTTCGCGCTTCTAATATCCTTAACCTATACAGTATGTCTTACGAATTAGAAAAAGAAAAGTTCTACATACACTAAAGTACAAAGGTCCTAACGCTAAGGAATCACACATAAATAATATCCGTTCACGTCGCTATTAAAAACAATCTCATATGCGTAATACATAGTTCTCCCGCTAAAATTAAATGTTCTAAATCGTATCTTTAATATAAACAAGTTAATAATTAAAAAAAAAAATTCAACAACACAACAATTCATCACCGGCTCCAAATAATTCTGTGTATTCATTTCTTCCAGAGTTCCGGAAAATAACATAGTCGAGTATTATAATTAAAATACAGATTAAAATTATCGATACAGATCATAAGAGTAAAAACTTATTCCTGGCTTGAGGAACCGATTTTTTTCTTAACGTCCTTTTTTCTTCACTGGCGTCAAAAGCGCGATGGTTGCATTTGAGTTATAAATTTAAAGTAAAAAAAGTATTAAAAATACACCTTATATACTGCTTAACGCATAAAAAAATTGCTTGCATTTTCAAATTTTCTTTTTTTTGTAGTACAGTACATCTTCGATCATAAACACGACATTGCGACTACGATAAATATTTCGAAGAAAAAAAAAAAACGATTACAAAATTGTCGGGACAGATTATATGAAATCATTAAAATCTGTTTGGTAGAAAATAAAATTGTTTCGGCAGCTTTACAACGAAGAATTAGATTTTAGTGATATCGGAAGCAACAAATACACAATAATTCTCATCCATCCAGATAGTCAACTAGTCATCCACTTGCTATGTCAAGGCTGTACAAATCAGTCTATTATAAACCACCCTAGCACCTAGAGATTGTTGTCTGTCCACTCGCGACATGTGTCGTTGGCACAATATCGAACTTGAGACCGTTCGAACATCGAGCAGCTCCGGAAGTAACCTAGTAAACTCCGTTCCATATAATTTACATTTAGTTTAGTACCTCAAAGCGACACCGCTGTGTTGTATACGCACCGAACATTGTTCCAAATTAAAAACCACCAGATATATAAAATAAATCGTATGCGAGCGATTCTATACAACTTATAAGTTCTTATAAGCTAAGGTCAATAAAACACTTCTTACGCCTCGCGATGTTTTCACAAGAACATTCACAATACATTCAAAGTTTCCAGTCCAATAGCGGCCTAGTGGCGATCGACATAAAGTCTATAATCGCACGCTATGGGATTTTAGGGCGTACCTTTCCAATCGAACAGCGTCCTTATGAAGACCGAAATAAGGCCTACAATCGCACACATCATGATCGCCGCGCGTACGTTTCAACAGCGGCTTTGCAGCGAACGGAATACAGTCTACAATCGGCACGCATCGGGATTTTCAAGCGTGCGGGTCCAATCGAACAGCGTCCCTGCGGCGATCGAAATAAGATCCACAATCGCACGCACCGGTGTGTCCGTCCTCCTTAAATGTATATGGCCTCGGTGGCGCCCTTGTTCGCCTGCTGCATGTCGTTCGGCGACAGGGCTGCGCGCTCCGACCAGTCGGAGTGGGGCGACTGGGTCAGCGGCGTCTGCGGTGACGGGCTGGACCACTGGTCCGGGGACTCGGGCGACGGCGTGGGGAACGTGTCCCCTATACCCCAGCCGCCGTACAGGCCTATCCCTGTTGGGTACGCGGAGCGGTGAGAAATCGGGTACACGTTAGGGCTGGCGCAACGCACTGTGCGGTGGTTTTAGGGTTGGCTCTACGTCGTGTTTTTGTGAATATAAGGACAGTTGTGCCGCGATAGTGTCCGGGCGCTCGCATTTAACTAAATTCACTCGAGCAAACTGAGTTCGCAAGCACCAATGAAATTGTTAATTATAAGTGCTGAATTGTCACCTGCTCGACGGTGAAGGGACAACATCGTGAGGAAACCTGCATATTTTCGAAATAATTATAAAAAAAAATGTTTCGAAAATATGTAAAGTCCGTAAATCCACAGTGGGGTCGCGTATGCCTTGATACCCAGACCTCCTTACAGAGGAGGCCTTTGCCCAGCAGTGGGACATTTATAGGCTGTTACTTTACTTTATTTATAAGGAGAGTTGTTTTACTCTTTTCTCTTATCCTGAGGGTCTGACATCAATAATTGCAGAGAAAGAAACTAAGATATTTAATCTGTGTTTTTTTTTTCATTTTAAATTCAACTAAACCAGTTTAGTATGCATGTTTTTAGGGGAACGTAAGTGACAAGCATCTGTGAATTTTTCAAAAATAATCTATATTAACTTGCCGAGAGCGTATCAGTATCGTACTCCGGTAAGGAGTTACGGACAACGAAACTAATGTATCATCGTGAATGTGGAAGACAACCAAAGGATGACGTGAATGTGGAAGACCAAAGAGATAAAAACCGAGACATTGTGGACGCAGAAAAAGTTACAGGCAATAGAAACGAGTTGGAAAATGAACCGACCTGATATCATGTTGGTGAGGGCTGGATGCTGCCCGCCTTGTACCTGTCCGAGCGCCGCCGCGTGCGTCATGACCGCTTGCAGCTGCGCGTTGTGTTGCCCGTTAGCACCTGATTGGAGGAGCAATACTGAGTAACACAAACTTCGCTACGTTTCTCGCGTTGACGTTCAGTTTTAAAATTTATTTATTTATTTGCACACTTTTTTGTACTAACTGGTACAAACGGCGGGCTTAATGCCATGAGGCATTTTCTACCAGCCAACCGGAAAGTTAGTGAGAGAGAAGTGTAGGTGCTAGCTCTATAAGGATTACATAATATGTATACATACATTATAATAACAATTATTAAACACTTTTATATCAGTTATTTCAGTTTTTTATCAACATTTATATCAGTTTTGGTTTTGTGTGCAGAACTGTGGTAAGGCCACGCTGCGGTGTTCCGTGGTGCACGAATGGGCAGCTCCCCTAAGTACCACGACCTCACAGAAGACCGGCGTGAAGTGGAAAGTGTTAAACATCTGCGTTTCGACTGGTGAGGTAACCAGGGCCCACTTTATTAAAAGGCGGCAACGCATCTATAACCGAATAGTGTTGCGTGACCCTACCATAGTTAAAAGTATTGTGAAATTGTTTAAATTTAGTGAACTGGTTGGCAGTTTCTTAATTTTCAATAAGAGCTTAAAACGAGACTATATTGAATGAAAGAAATTTAGACTTTGACTTTGTCTTTGAAGAGAGACTGACCACGAGAATATATGGAAGCGGTGTGCTATAAAGGTGTTAACTCCAAGCATTGCTTCAAATGCTAAAATAAAAACAATGTAAATAGAAGACGTTAAGATTTTCGTCTGTGTGACAATCAGCCGTTTAGCTTAGTGGCTAAAAGGTCAGGCCTCGAACGCCGAAGACGTGGGTTCGATTCCCACAGCGGCGACAATCTTTTCGCACTTTTTCTACATGTTTTAATAATTTTAAGGTGTTAACTCACTGAGGTGCGCCAGGGCGGAGTATGTGGCGGCGTCGAGCTGGTGCTGGTGCTGGTGAGAGTGGCGTAAAGCGGCCATGTGCGCGGGGGACGTCGGTAGGGACGGCCGCGACTTTCCCGGCGACGGCGACCCTGTTAAGGCGAGCGCTTGCTATTATGACCTCTATAATTATAGTGTTAACTGCGATAGTCGACTGGCTAACGAACTTTAGGGTTGCTAGCCAATAAGTGCAATAGTCAACCGCTTAGCAGACATTAGGGTTGCTACCGGAGTGAAATGAGAGAAAGTCTTGTGTTGGCAACGGCCACGACTTTCACAGCGACGTTGACCCTGTTAAGGTGAGCGCTTCCTATTATGACCTTTATTACTAAGGAGTTAAGTGCGATAGTCGACTGGCTAACGAACATTAGGGTTGCTAGCCATTAATTGCGAGTGATGTAACTAAAGTATTATGTGTTGGCGACGGCCGCGACTTTCCTGGTGATGGTGACCAGGTTAAGCGGTTGCAGTTATTAACTCTATAAATAAATCATTAAGTGCGACAGTCGACTGGCTACGTTAGGGTTGCAACCCGAGGAAAATGAGAGAAAAAGCTCTGTTGTAACTGGCTATAACCGGTGTTTTCGAAATTAGAAATCTCTCGGACAATTTTGTTGCTTCTCCTCTACAGTCGTAAAACACTGTTCGAGTTTAATAGTTTTAATAAATTAATTACTTATTATAGAATAAAACAAACGCTTCTCAGACATCCCAGGTCGCGTTCTCCCGTACGATTTTGTGGTGTCTTATTTGTATCATGTGCCAATATTCAACGGGCACTATAAAACAGGGAAACGTGTGATTTCTGCCTGGGTCCTCTTGCGTTCCTTGCTCAAGTCTAGAATTCTAGAAGGCTGATAGATGTACTGACCTATGTACGCGTGCGGCGACGTGGTGTGGTTGCTGTGGGTCGGCGAGTGGTTGGAGTAGGGCGGCGATAGGGAGGCGCCCAGCGCGCCGCCGCCGTACTGCAGCGTCTGACCCGTCTGCAACAAAGAGGGCGCCACCTGCACTGGCGGTCCTCAACGGTGGTAGGGCCTCGCAGTAGCCTCGGCTGTTGCACGAATGGGCAGGCTCGTCCGGGGCTCGTCAGTACCACGACTTCACAGAAGACCGGCGTAAAGTGGAAGTGTAATACTTTCGCGTTTCGTCTGGTGAGTGAGGTGGCCGGAGCCCGACTTTCAAAAGGTGGTCAACACATCTGGATCCCTAGGATGTAACAGATGTCCATGGGCGGCGGTATTCACTTCACACATAAAAAAAATACTGCTCTACTCGCTAAATGGAAACTGTTTACAGAAGCCGAAATTGAACTGGCTGTTATAAAACACAACCTTGGGATAATAAATGTTAACTGTAATTTCCACTTTTGATTGGTACAGATCAGCTAATCTTGAAGATCGAGATGACTCTGTGCTGAAGCTGCTATGCTGTTGGCTTCGGTGCCTGGTTGTAGGTTCGATTCCCATTCGGTGTCTGGTTGTGGGTTCGATTCGCAAGAATGAAAAGTATGTATGACCCATAGGATTCTTGTTCTGGATGTTGCTTGTTCCCAAGGAGGGTTGACGTGAAGCAGGCGGTTGTGAAAAACCCTAACCAATACCACTGACAACATAATTTACATGTTTTACCGTCCCCATCAAGGTGTAATATAGACTGGTAAATAATGATTTGAAATGCTGACATGTTAAAAGAATTTCCAAATGAAAATTGTTCTGTAGTCTTTCGGTTAGCGAATAAAGAATAAAGTACGAGACTTACAACCGGTTTCTGATACACTGATCAACTAATCAGCTGTCAACTGGATTTTCAAATTTTATATGAGTTGATAAGACGATTGTTTAACTCTTTGAATTGATCATTCTGATCATTAAGAAGATCATTCTAATAAATTCAGAGAGTTTAACAATCCTTTTGGCAACTCAAATAACATTTGGAAATCCATTTGACAGCCGATTAGTTGATTTCTACTAGGATTACTCTGAAACAATGATGTTTCAGAAACCGGGCGTGAGATTCGAATTAGTGAAGCGAAGTTATGAACGATAGATAGCGAGTTAATAAGGAGATAAAAGCCGTGGATTAAGTACCTTGTAGGGCAGACACGATACCTTGACGCAATCCTCATAGCTGGGCGGCTGCTTGTGCTGGATAAGCTGCTCCATGCCGGGGAATTGCGCCATAGCGTTCGAGTACAGCGACGTTGCGTCGTACGGCGACGGCAAGTCCTTTAACAGGTTGTTATCGTTTTATATAGATAAGTTCAGCTCGAGAGATATCCTGCTCGAAGGACCATTTTGGTTTTGGTACATTTTAATATAACTATTTGCATAAGAATGCGTTTTTATTTGCATTTTTAAAGTATTAGATGCTAATGACCCGATTGATCTGAAGCATCCTATATACATATTTTCATATGATTTACAGGGAATAAATCTCAAAAGGTAAAGATTTGCTTATTGTTTACAAAAGTGTTAGTTATCTCAAAAACCAGTTTAAGTACAAATAAGTATTTAAAAGCAAATTAGAACAATTGAATTGGTTTATAATAAATACACGTATCAAATTGTTTCAAATAAATTAGATAATTACGAAAACTCGTTTGTTATGTACCTGTAAATTTTGGAGCGGTGATTCAACTGGACTTAGGCTTGAGCCTAGGCTTTCCACGCTCTGCGGCACTTCTTGTGCCACTTTCTTGTTACTCTTTTTTACACTTGGCTTCCTGTTGGTGAAGATAAAAAAAACATTAACAATAGCCTTACACTATCTTCATCGAAACTTCATTTGAAAGTCAGTTAATCAAAGTTGGAATTTGTTAAATTTAAGAAAAACTTCAGTGGATGAAGTGACGAACTGTGCAAGTGAAGTGAAGTCTATGGATGTAGGTGGCTCAATGTGATTCGTGGCAGTCTATGGAGGAGGACTATGAATGAATCAATACTTTATTGTCCACTAAACATAAAATGTATGTAATGCGTACCATGTTCAAGAGTGAACGCAAACAGGGTGAAATGAAGATGATGAAGAAAAATTACCGCTTGTTCGTTTGAACCGGGCTTGATAGACTCACCGTCGTATCTGCGCGTGCTGCAGGTTGTTGTTGTCGTAGGGCTGCTCCTGCGGGCTGTCGGGGCCGGGCTTGGCGCGCGGCTTCTTCGGCTTGCCCTTCGCGCTGGAGATCACGGTCGGCTGGCTGATCAGCTGCGGGTGCGGGTTGGGCGACGCTGCGGGAACGAGGGCAGATAGTGCTGTCACTGGTACATTTATAAAACACTAGCTTTAATTAACCCGACTTAGTTGTTTCTGTCAAAAGGCGGTAATTGAGCACGTTTACTCGGTTACTCCGTATATTGCGATTCTGACACGTCTCTTCAGTAACCTCGGTGTCAGAGTAGACACTCTGACTCTAATGAGACTTCCAAGATTACGACGGCACGGCTATATATTATGTGCGTCAATTTGCCTACGCGTTATACATGAGTCACAGCTTGCTTACTCGCCAAACTACATATATGTGTGTCCCTACACAGTATGCCGTATGGTCAGCTCTCATAACTTCACTCAGTAGCAGATAATGAAATTTGTGGAAAACTTGGACAATAGTTTATGCAAGACGTACGTTGTTGTTTAACATAACACGACGAGAGAGTATAGCAAGGGCGTTCGAACACTGCTTATGAATAAATTAACAGCCTTTAAGTACCACTGCTGCATTCAAGGCATTACCTATGAACGCAGAGCCTTTATCATGACCGAGGCATTTTGGATCAGCCACTGTTGGCCTTAGGGGCCTTTACAGTTCCGCCGGACTTGAGATAACTGGGCGCTTAGGGCGTCTAGCCCGAAACTCGGCGTACTAGGGACCGAGATGTACGCCGGACTTTTATAATAAGTGGGCGGGGCTTAGCCGGCCAATGGGCGGCGCGGACGGCCGATGGGCGGGGCTTGTGGCACTCACGCAGCAGGTGGTGGTGCGGCGGGCGCGGGCAGTGGTCGTCGAGCAGCCGCACGATGTCGTCGTGCATCCGCTCCTGGGCGACGTCGCGCGGCAGCCGGTCCATGTGGTCGGTGATCTCGCGGTTCGCGAGCGCGTCGAGCAGCGCCCGGCACGCGCCGTACGAGCCCTCGCGCGCGCCGAGGAACAGCGGCGTCTCGTCCTGCGGGGTGAGGTTGGTGAGTTTTATACGTGGACAGCTTTTTTTTTTATGCGAAAAGTTGTCAAACGAACAGACGGTTCACCTGATGTTAAGTGAATACCGCCGCCCATAGATATCTGCCACACCCTAGGGTTACAGATGCGTTGACAATCTTTTGGAAATTGGGCACCGGCTACCTCACTCACCAGACGAAACGCGATAGTATTTGTCATACTTCCACTTTACGCTGGTCTTCTGTGAGGTCGTGGTACTTATCCGGACGGGCCTGCCCATTCGTGCGACAGCCGAGGCTGCTGCGTGGCCCTACCACCGTGGTGGCCATTCAAATTGTCAATAGATGGCACTATCGTAAATTGTTTATAAGATTCTTTTTATGAAAACATTAATTTTATTCTACTGGTCCACTTTTCGTCATTAGCGGTAGAAATACATAGCGATCTTATTATAACTCGCGACTCGGACTTGATCCCTTTGCACGAGTCTTTCGAGATAAGAGATTTGAAGATGTATACCTTGTCGTCCTGCGCGTCTCTATTGGCGCCGTGCACGAGTAGGACGTTCACGGCGTCCACGTTGTTCACGGCGGCCGCCCAGTGCAGCGCCGTCTTCCCGCTGTTGTCCGCCGCGTTTATATCGGCATCGGCGTTGATCAGGTCCTCCACCATGCCCTCGATGGCGAGCCTGGTGGTCGCAATCTTGTTAGTTGCTTTTACGTGACGGTTGTTTATTTATAATAAATAAATTTATTTTGCAGTTGGTCACAATGTGGGTAACGTTGGGAGAAAGTTCGCTCGTACTGCTAACTTGTTGGTTGTTTTTATGTGATGGTTTTTTATTTATTGGGCAAATAGTATTTACATTTTTCATACGCGTTCGGTAATGTTGCTAGTTTCGGTGTCAGTTAGTCTTATGCCTCACGAAGTTTCGCCACGGAGGCTAGGTAGGGGGTTAAAATGATACAAAAAAAAACATCACGTCATTAATGGATGATCCCTAATCGAATAGTCGAGACAAGGTAGCATGTCCGAACGACCACAGTGCCCTAAAAAGATCTATTGTCGTCTTCCCTTCGAATACATTTACCCCTTACTCCAGGATACCATTATACATACAACCCTGCAACACTACGGGTTTGGCAAATGTCCATGGGCGGCGGTTATCACTTAACATCTGGTGAGCCGCTTTCTCACTTAAAATAATCTGGGACGTACCTGGCGGCGAGTATGAGCGGCGTGGTGCCGTCGTGCATGCGCGCGTTGAGGTTGGTGGCGCGGTTGCGAAGCAGGATCTGGAACACGCCCATCGCGTCCGCCGCCACCGCCGAGTGCAGCGGCGTGCGGCCCGTGTTGTCCTGCGAGTTGGCGTCCGCGCCGGCGTCCAGCAGCCGCTTGGCGGCGTCCGCGCGCGCGTATCTGTCGGCGAATGAATGAGTGAATGAATGAATGAACAACTTTAACGAATGAATGAATGCTTTTATTGCCTACCACAAATTAAAGGGTACCACAACATTAACAATTGAATTAAAACTGTCCGTGGATGTCGGAGTGTCCGTTAGAGGTGGTCGTGCGGTTATTTTGCGGATGTAAAAAGTAAGCGAGTAACCGGCTCGAGAGAATGAAACGGCTAAGTAGCTACTTAACGCTGTTCTTTTGTAAAGTACCTCTCCACACATATTTGTGTAACAGCGCGAGCTGTTGCATGGTCTAATTCAATGATTAGAGATAATTATGTTTGTTAATATCAAAGATTTTACTAGTGGCGTCCGAACCAGATGTCATTGTCCATTGTTGAGTGACCAGATAGATGTACCTGAAATGTCCTTAGTTGCGTGTTTCTAATCTAATAATCTCTTTGATTTCAACGATAACGTTTCTTAAAATTTAAATTCCTAATATAGTTTTGTGTTTTTGGTAGCACATATTTACATCAATCAATATTGAATCGCACAGAAAACGTGTCAGGCGAGGAATAGAGTGGCGGACGGTTGAGGGCCCCAGTCTTGTCCATGGCGGCGTTGTGTTGCAACGGAGGCTATTCACGAATCCGACCCCACCGCGGGGTCTATCGGTCTACAATAGGGTCGGTTACCTGGCGGCCAGGTGCAGGCTCGTCTCGCCGGTCTTGTCCATGGCGGCGTTGAGCTGCGCGCCCTGCGCCACCAGCTCGGATATGATGTGCGCGGTCTGCTCGTCCTCCGCGTCGGAGCCGGCGTCGAGCCCCCCGCCCCTGATGGCGGCGACCATCAGCGGCGTCATGCCGAGGGGGCCGCGCGCGTTTACATCCACATGCCCGTCGTGCTGCACGTCGATGGGGAGTTTGGTTATCGATGGGTTAGCAAGGTTCAGAAGGCAAGCGAGCTGGCGGGTCACCAGATATTAGGTGACGAACGCCGTGGACACCTTAATAAATTGGGACAAACTTTTAAATGCGTTCTCTGCTCCCAAACGCAGCATGATTGTACTGTGTTGTGTTAAAAACGTCGATGTCAACGAACATGAATATTTCGCGTTTTAAATGGCAAACCCTTATCCGGTAAGTGTTATTTCTATATGTGGTCTCGTTTTAACGTGTATTTGGATTGCAATGGAAAATGGAGACATGGTTGAATTTCGTCAACTAAAGCGAAGGCCATGTTTGTAATGGGTCTGAGTTTGTTTTAATTGCGTTACTGAGCCGTTTGTTACGGTCAAGGGTTTTTTCGGTTCCTATGGTAGTCTAACAGTTGCAGTGGAGGCGTTATTATTCAAGAACCTGATTTCAATGTTTCTTTTATTTGACGTCTTTTACTACGTGTTTGGAGGAATTAAACAAATAGTTTTTTTCCACTCTTCATCACTCTGCAACTTAATGTAATATATTGTCGAGTTACGGCAAGAGCTTTGCAATGTCGAATAAATTTTGTTCAATCGTGGACTTGTTAAACCACACTAACAAAGGCAGATTAGAGGTTTTCCTTAATCTTATTCAAATTAATAAAGACAGCGCTACTTACGATTGCGGGGGGAGTCATCATACTCGGTGGCACCCGTATATCAGCCGCGTCTAAGTGCTGCTGAGTCCAGACCCTCGAGTCGTGGCCCGCTTCCTCGTACTCGGTGATGGCGGTGTGGTCTGAAGCGTAGCCACCGGGCGCTCCATTGGAGTCTCCAGGGCCTCTTGCCCGCTTCGCCCTTGGAGGGGCGGAGCCGTCGTCGTCATCGTCCGACCAATGGGGAGGCCCCATATGCCCGCCGTTGATGTCGACATCGATGCAGCCGATGGAGCCTTTGTTCAGGTTCCTCATCTCCTGGCCGTCGGGGCCGCGGCGCCTCGACCGCCGCCTGGTGGTCGAGTTGTTGCGGATGAACCCCTCAGGGAACCAGGTGATCCCCGCCGCGCGTTTCCTCTGCGCGGTCACGAGGACGCCGATCAACAGTCCGGCGAGCAGGACCAAGATGACCCCGATGAAGACGTACTTGGAGTTCGTCGGCAGCTCGTCCGGCCCGTCCGGCCTCGTGACCCCCTTGATTTGGAAAATCGGGAAGTCCGGCGAGAGGGAGTGCTTAGAGGCGGTGGCCGCCAGGAACTCCGCCGCCTCTCTGGTCGAAAAGAAACACTCGGCGCCGGAGATCGACGAGCACTTCCGGTTGTCGAGCTCCAGGTAGACCTGGACGCCGGACTGGCCCCTCTCCGTGAACACTATCTGGTGTTTTTTGCCGAACTCCGTGTCTTGAAGTCCGACGTCCGTCGATCCCTTCCACGGGTACACCATGTCGTTGCCGAGGTGGTCCTTCTTTATCACCACCGTGGTCCGCAGCTGGTGGCCCAGGTCGCGCAGGAAGGCGACCGAGTTCTCCTTGAAGGTGCGCACATCCATCAGCAGTATCACCGACATCACGCCTTCGGCCAAGTCCGGGGGCTCGTTCTCGCAATCGAGTCCGTCCCAGTTGCACTCCGCATTGTTGCAGCCGTAGTCGCAGTGGCCGTTCGCGTAGTGCTTCTGGCAGTACGCGTCGTAGATTGGGTTGCAGCGCTGCAGCGACTTCTGGCAGTCCCTGCCATCGAACAGGCACGCCTGCGTGTTGCACACCTCATTGCACTCGCCGTTCATGAACACCTCCCAGCACTTGATCGGCGCCGTGCAGTTCGCCCACGGGTTGATGCCCAGCGAGCAGTCGTTCCCGTCGAACTCGCACGCGTACGTGTTGCACTCCTCGTCGCAGTGGTGGTCCGACTGCTTCTCCTTGCAGCCCAGCTTGACGCACTGCTCCCTCTGGAACGCCAGATCCAACTCCTGGAAATTCAGCGCCGGGTTCTTGTTGTACACGCCGGAGACGGGGCTCCCGTATCCGCCGCGGGAGTGCGGGTCGTGGATGTCGCAGGTCTTGCCGGTCCACTGCCTCGGGCAGTAGCAGAGGAAGTCGCCGGGCTTGTCGATGCAGCGCGCCTCCGGGTGCTTGCACGGGTTGCTGAGGCACTCGTTCATCGAGTCGATCTCGCAGTTGACGCCGGACAGTCCTGAGGGGCAGTCGCACACGTAGTCGCCTATCTCCGACGTTCGGCAGTAGCCGCCGTTCTGGCACGGGTTCGAGTCGCACGCGTAGCCGGAGTACTCGCAGTTCTTCCCGTAGAACCCGTCGCCGCAGAGGCACTCGTGGCCGCCCTGTATCGCGGTGCAGATGCCGCCGTTCTGGCAGGGCGAGTTCGCGCAGAAGTTGACCTTCGCGTCGCAGTGCCTGCCCATGTGGCCCGGCTTGCAGTTGCAGTGGTAGTCGTTGATCAGCTGCACGCAGTCCTGCGTGCCGGGGCCGGAGCACGGGTTGGAGAGGCACTCGTTGATGTCGCCCTCGCACCTCGGCCCCACAAAACCGGGGGGGCACTTGCACTCGAAACCGCCGACCCTGTCGATGCAGGTGCCGTTGTTGTGGCACGCGTCCTGCTTGCAGTCGTTCACGTTTATCTCGCAGATCTTGCCGAGGGTGCCGAAGGGGCAGGAGCACGAGAAGTTGTTGATCAGGTCGTGGCAGGTGCCGCCGTTCTGGCACGGGTTGGGCAGGCAGTCGTTCACGTTCAGCTCGCAGTTCTGCCCCTGGAAGCCCTTCGCGCAGTGGCACTGGTACGTCCCTACTAGGTCCTTGCACTGGGCGCCGTTCTGGCAGGGCGCGGAGTCGCACTCGTTGATCTCCTTCTGACAGTAGGAGCCGCTGTAACCGTCCAGGCAGTGGCAGCGGTGCGAGTTGCCGATGTCCTCGCAGGTGCCGTTGTTGCACAGCTGGTTCAGCTTGACGCCTATAACGACAATTATGTATATAATTCGGGCAAATGGTTTAAGAAAAACTTACGCGATCAAGTAATTTAAAAATACAAATAAACTTACGAACGTAGTCTTATTTGCTACAAGGATGGTACATATTTTGTGTGAGTTAGATTATTATGAGTGGTAACTCACCTTTCCTAAGCGCGGCGTCGTTACATGAGACCATTTCGACGTCGCACAGTTTGCCGGACCAGCCAGGTGCGCAGGCGCACGAGTATTGCGGGCCCTTCTGCGAACACGTCGCTCCGTTCTCGCACGGCATGTTCTCACACCTAAAACGGCAAATTAATCTCAGTTAGAGACTCAGTTTATGGCCACAAGGTACGGTAGAATGCTGAATTTCATAATAAACTTTTTTATATTGTGTTAATGCATAAAAATTAAGTTTTTTATATTCTGCTTTTCGATGTATCATAACGTTGTATAGTTCAACGTTTTTGCTCTAAAAATGTAGTAAGTAGTCTATACTGATTCAATAGAAATAAATTCTGGTAATGCATCAAAGTTAACTTTTTTATTATACTTTGAATCAAAAGTTAGATTTTCAAAAGATACAAACCCTTACTAATATTATAAAGGCGTAAGTTTGTATGTACGGATGGATGTTTGTTACTCTTTTACGCAAATACTACTGAATGGATTTTAATGAAACTCTACATTAATATAGCTCATACATCAGAATAACACATAGGCTATAATTTATATACATATTTTTTATGTATATCTGTCTTTCTGTCTGACGTAGTCGCGGGCAGCAGCTAGTATTGCATGAACTTGTAAACTAGTGCGTTAATTACAAAGGTCAGCGTGACAAGCAATCGACTAAATGGTAATCCATAATGGCCAGGATGTAAAATTACCAATCGACGAACGCCTCGCAGTGCTTGCCCGTGTAACCGTACGGGCAGTGGCACGTGTAGAAGGTCACGTGGTCGTGGCACGTGGCGCCGTTGTCGCACGGCGAGCTGTCGCACATGTTGATGCGGAACTGGCAGTTCGAACCCGTGTACCTGTATAAAGCAGAATGAACATATAGTATCTTTCTCCTTAGTAGTAACACTTCGTCAACGAAATGAGGCTAAATTAATTATAATTTTACTATTTTACATTCTAGAGCATATAAAACAGTAATGTGAGACATAAGAGACATGTTGATAAAATAAAAACGAATACATCACACATATTTAAACAACGTTTTCTGGTCTCAAACTAAGCAACGCTTGTCCTATGGGTACTAGATAACTGATATCGCTTACTTAAACATACTTTTCTTTTTGCAAATAAATACATATTATAAATGACTGACACTGAACCACACCCTACACTATGTTCATCACAAATATTTTTCCAGCAATGGAAGCCACACATTCCGGCGCAAGAGGCAGTTACTGCCAATACACCAATCCGATCGGTCGTAATTAGTAATGACGTCTATAAATTGTCCATCACCAGTGCTTTTCCAGCATTCCACTCACCCTGGCGGGCAGGAGCAGTTGTAGGAGTTGATCCCGTCGACGCAGGTGCCGCCGTTCATGCAGCTGGACTCGGTGCAGTCCTCGTCGTTGGTCTGGCAGTTGATGCCGGAGAAGCCGAGCGGGCACGTGCAGGTGTACGAGGCCACGTACTGAAAGGGACGGCCGGTTGACGCTTTCGTGTGATAAAAAGGGACGGCGCGAAGATTCCGCGTACTACGGAAGTTCGGAATACTCCATTAGTACTTGCAGGTGTATGACGCCACGTACTGAAAGGGACGGCCGGTTGACGCTTTCGTGTGATAAAAAGGGACGGCGCGAAGATTCCGCGTACTACGGAAGTTCGGAATACTCCATTAGTACTTGCAGGTGTATGACGCCACGTACTGAAAGGGACGGCCGGTTGATGCTTTCGTGAGAAAAAGGGACGGCGCGAAGATTCCGCGTACTACGGAAGTTCGGAATACTCCATTAGTACTTGCAGGTGTATGACGCCACGTACTGAAAGGGACGGCCGGTTGACGCTTTCGTGTGATAAAAAGGGACGGCGCGAAGATTCCGCGTACTACGGAAGTTCGGAATACTCCATTAGTGCTTGCAGGTGTATGACGCCACGTACTGAAAGGGACGGCTAGTTGACGCTTATGTGTGATAAAAAGAGACGGAGGCGAGCTTCCGCGTACTACGGAAGTTTGAAATGTTCGACTAGTACTTCTGGTTGGATGGCTAGGTGACGCTGTTGTTAGACTATTGCTCTAAGCATCGCGGTTCGTGGATGAGAGGCCCACTAGCACAAGTAATCACCCAGAACTGGAGCAATCATCTGTAACCTACAGATAGTTGCTCCAGATCTGGGTGTTTGTTAACATGAAGAGTTGACGTCAGGTGGGCGGCCCATTATAAACTTACTTTTTTTCGATGCCACCGCCGGCGCCAATAAAATACTTAACTGCAATTGTAAGTGCTGACTCGCGTGCTCAGCGACTAGTTTCGAAATAAAAAAAATTTCGAACATATGCAGTCTGCCAAGCGTAGTGGGGTATGTGACTCTGGAGTTTCAAAGAGTAAGCCTGTGTGCTACATTGGGACATAGGCTCTAATTTTGATTTTTCCTTAAGTACCGGGGAGCGTTGGTACATGGTAACAGGACTACGCCCTAACACCCACTGTACGGAGGCCGTTGGTACATAAAAAGCCTTACTTTTTTAACGTTACTATTCCAACTAAAATTCAAATTGAACGTTGTGCTCGGTTGTCATTCAAATGCAAGTTTAGTAACATGTATTGGTCTGTATTAATTTAGTCATTTTATAATTTGTATTTTGTAATACCGCGCCAAATAAATAAATAAAAAAAAGACTAAATCTTGTCGGTACCTGGTTGCAAGTGGCGCCGTTCATGCAGGGCCGCGACTGGCACTCGTCGATGTCCACCTCGCAGTGCTTGCCCGCGAATCCGCTCGCGCACACGCAGTTGTAGTCGCCGATGCTGTCCAGGCACGTGGCGCCGTTCTGGCACGGGACTGTCCGGGGGATTTCGTCTCACGTTTATGGTCACTCTACACTTTCGTAATAGCCGTGATGTCTATCATAATACTTCAACGTGTAAAATGTATCTTTATCATAAATGTTACAACGATACGAGAGACTTCTGTGCGCGCGGCTGATAAACTATGCCATATTTAGCTAATTGTTTTCATATAATAAGGCATGCAATTTGTTGATTTATTTTCATGGTCTTGTAGTGAATTATTACACACATACCGACCTCGAATTCTTTCGAGTATAGTTTACGTTGGTGTCTGTATAAGTGTACATTTATTTCCCTGGCCTATAAATTGTCGATACTTTTTGCAAATAGCTAGTTCAGAAAATATGATTGTGCAATTTATCCGATGAACTTACAACTGTGTCGAGTCGAATACAAGCTTTTCATCCATTAGTTAATGAAACTTAAGAGCCTTTTATTCGTGGGGATCCTGCATAGGATACCTATCCACCAAGAGGGAGTAGACAGGTTACATACAAAACCACACGTTAGACACCTTCAATAATTATGGGGCACGGGATCCTGCTTAAGACCTAAAGGAACGCAACCGCGGCTGCACCGACTCTCAAAACTTAAGAGCCTACGCTAGCTTAGCCTTAAACAGTGGCAGCCCAACTTCATAAATCTCATAGATGCGTAGAGCCGTAGAGGCCTAAACATATGAGCCTATTCTAGCTTAGCCTTAAAAAGTGGCAGCCCTGTTTCGTAAATCTCGTAGAGCCGTAGCGGCGTAGCACTCACACGACGCGCAGTCGTCGGTGTTGATGGCGCAGTCGCGGCCCTCGTAGCCGCGCGCGCAGAGGCACGCGTAGGAGCCGGCCGTGTTGAGGCAGGTCGCCTGGTTGTGGCAGGGCGCGGAGGCGGCGCACTCGTCCACGTCGCGCTCGCATAATGCGCCCGCCCAGCCGGCGCCGCACGCGCAAGTGAACTCCGCGTACGAGGCCTCCGCCACGCAGCGACCGCCGTGCCGGCACCTGGGGCGCGGATCGAGCGGTTTTATTAATTTTGGTGTGACAACCCTATTGGGTTTTATCTCAATTTGGGCGCGGCAGCCCTATTGGGTTTAATCTCAGTTTGGGCGTGACAGCCCTATTGGGTTAAACCTCAGTTTGGGCGTGACAACCCTATTGGGATTAATTTCACCTCAGTTTGGGCGTGACAACCCTATTGGGTTTAATTTCAATTTTACTGTACCAACCCTAAAGGATTTAATCTCAATTTGGGCATAAGACATTTATTGGTAGTTAATTTCAGCTTTGGCGTCAATTTATTATTAATTTGCTTGTACTAACTCTACTGAGGCCGTTATTGAGAGAAGAAAGATATTTCGATTACACAAAAATGCTTGTGTAGAACAAATTACATCTCTGCTGCATTTCAATGACTACGCTATTATATAATTGTATTCTGTTATTCTATACATCCTTATCCAATTTGATGTAAAAAAAAAAAAACAAATGTCTACAAACAAATCATATAAACACGTAAACTAAAAAGGCATAACATATGCATGTAACAATCTAATTGTTACGATAAATATCCGCATTTCTTGTATCAAATTTCCTTGCTACTGAAAATAGGCAGCTAATGTTAGCAAGACCCACAATTTAAACAGTCGAATCTTTAAGTAGTTTTAAGTAGTTGAGTATTTGTACTCACTGGTTGGGTAGGCAGGGGTCGAGGGTGTTCTCACAGTTGCGGCCTGAGTGAGGAGGTGCGCACACACATCTGTAGCCGTTGACAAGGTCGATGCAGGAGCCGCCGTGGAGGCAGGGGTTGCCTGCGCAATCGTCGATGTTCGTCTCGCAGTTCACACCTGTGATAGATCAAGACAATTCATTAAACATTTGCCCTTATCATTACCTTCCATAATTGTATCAGTCTGGCATTCGAAATCAACAACCGGTTGTTGTGATGACGGGTTGTTTTGTATGCATGCAGTTATATTGCATTTATGTTTTTAAGAAAGACAAGCCATAATTCACTGCCGACTCCATAGTTAAATGCATCTATTATACATCAAGAAAGATGATGACGTTCGATACCAGATTCAGGACTGAGACTAGAGCATCCAGTTCGTGATTAGCTAAGGCGATAAAAAAGTAAGATATTAGCACTGCCCAAATAATAAAGAGAAGAAATAAATGAATAATTTTTATTCATAATATTTATTTTATATATGTAATATATATCTATATGTTTATTTTTTATCTATAAACCCAACCAGACGAGAAAACAAAGAGAAGAAAGAGAACTACCTACTCTCCGAGTGCAAACGTTTTCCTTTTATGACAAAAGCAAAAATTTACTAAGATATGATGTAATTCATCGTATATAAATAAATATAAAAAGAGAGAGTAACATCAGTGACACATATCATGCTGTTCTCAATTAGATTAAAGCATAATAATTTCTTGTATTTACGCGATTACACATTATAAATGAAACTAATTTTACGGATTTATCGCGTTTATTTTTAATTTTAGTTCCAGACGTTTCGAACCCTTTACAGCGTTCATGGTCACGGGACAGACTGAGGTGTTAGACGTCTGATTGTCAAAGTTAACCCGGGCTACCGTCAGTTTTTGTATTATTGATTTTGTGTCCGATCTATGCAGAGGGAGCTAATTGTATCTTGTATTGCTGTAGTGGTTCTTTTGGGCTTAGATTTAATTTTATTGATGATAGGATCCCAAGCTGATGGTAGTACCCAACCCTCTTCTCTATTGAAATTAGGGTGTTTTTTAATTTCAATAGCCTCGCGAATCATCCTCGGGAGGAATCGGTGTTCTTTTGCAAGGATCTGTGGTCTATCAAACCTGATGTAGTGGTGAGAAGGCCCTTCGCACAGCTCCCATTTATCCAAGGTTTTATAAGAGGTATGTAGATGACACCTTCACCATTTTACCAACAAGTAAAGTTAATGCATTTTTAAATCACCTTAACTCAGTAAATTCCAAAATACAATTCACTATGGAATTAGAGAATAATAACTCTTTAGCTTTCTTAGATGTTTTGGTCATCCGCAATCCAAATAACACTATAAGTCACACTGTGTATAGGAAGGCAACCCATACAAATAGATACCTAAACGGTGACTCCCACCACCATCCATCCCAGTTAGCTACCGTGGGTAAGTCTTTGTTTCAGAGAGCACAAGGGATCTGTGACAAACAACACCTGGCCGCTGAGCTTCAACATGTCAAGCAAGTTCTGCATGACAACAAACTTCGAGCACCGCGCCTACGTCACAGTGACCGAGTGAAACCAGCCACAGTGGAGCGAGTACCTGCTGTTCTACCATATGTCAGAGGAGTCACCGACAAGATTGGCTATATCTTAAAGCGGGCTTCAATTAATACATTCTACAAGCCGCTGAAGAAGATTAGTCAGTTTTTACCATCTGTCAAGTGTAATATCCCTCTGCAAGATCCAGGAGTGTACAAACTTGACTGTGAATGTGGGCTCTCTTACATAGGACAAACGAAAAGAGCTATAAAAACCCGCGTGAAAGAACATACAGCTGACATAAAACATAGTAGATTAAACAAGTCTGCAGTTTGTGAGCACACTGTAAATCGGCCCAACCACTACATCTGGTTTGATAGACCACAGATCCTTGCAAAAAAGAACACCGATTCCTCCCGAGGATGATTCGCGAGGCTATTGAAATTAAAAAACACCCTAATTTCAATAGAGAAGAGGGTTGGGTACTACCATCAGCTTGGGATCCTATCATCAATAAAATTAAATCTAAGCCCAAAAGAACCACTACTGCAAGACAAGATACAATTAGCTCCCTCTGCATAGATCGGACACAAAATCAATAATACAAAAACTGACGGTAGCCCGGGTTAACTTTGACAATCAGACGTCTAACACCTCAGTCTGTCCCGTGACCATGAACGCAGTAAAGGGTTCGAAACGTCGGGAACTAAAATTAAAAATAAACGCGATAAATCCGTAAATTAGTTTCATTTATAGATTAAAGCAGTTCTCAGTTTTGACGTATTCCCGACTGACCCGTGAATCCTAGTACGCAGTCGCACTTGTACGCGTTCAGGCGATCGTGACAGGTCCCGCCGTGCTGGCAAGGGTTGGAGCTGCACTCGTCGATGTCTCGCTCGCATCGCTGACCTGCGAATTAAAAAAATTAGCTAGAGCATTAAATAAAATTCGATCTTATTGAAAAACTAGCTGACCAGGCTAACGTTGTATCGCCATAAGAAATTTTGGAGTGGAACACACTTAAGGGTATGAAAAATAGACGACGACCGGTTTCTCAGATCTACCAAATTTCATAAAAATTGATCAAGCTGGAGGAGTATGGCAACAAAATTTGTGACACGAGAATGTTAGTATATAAATAACGACTGTTAGCTACAGCGATGTAACAAGACACTAAGGAATTTTAGAACATAAATTCAAATCTTTTCTATGTTGTTCTCCGATTGGTTTGCACCATTATATTACATTAAGCAAACGTTACAATGCAATGATCTACTGTGCATCTCTATTATTTGATGTGAATAACAAATTTCGGTTGGTATCTCACCTCCGTAACCAGGAAGACAGTGGCAAATGAACTGGTTGACACCATCCTCGCACGTGCCACCGTTAATGCAAGGATTAGAGGCGCATTCGTTGACATCTGACAAGCATCTATAGAAAAGAAAAAGGATTTTTCTTCATAAATAAGTGGCTACTTAATGCATTTCATAACTTAGCATATAAATAATATTTCAACTTAACTATTGGCCGTTATTCAAAGTAGTATATGCTTTAAAGCGTCGTAACAATAAAATTCCTCAATTTTTTAGTACAACCAATGATATTTTAGCTGTCATAAAGACTTTTAGAAATCCACTGAACAAAGAAAAGAACACATAATAATAATGATTTGTAGTTTATACAAATATGGAAAATTAATCAAATTTTGTGTTTCATCCGATGTTAAAAGCGAACCAATAATTAAATAGTCGCATAAAATGTCGAACCAATAATTAAATAGTCTCATATAAGTGCTAACAGTTTTAAATGTAAAAGGAAATTTCGATTTCGATTATTGTAATGTCGGGAATAGTAGCGGACCTAGCGTCGTAGTATCCCCTGGGGCACTCGCAACGGAACCCGTTGATGCGGTCGATGCACTTGCCGCCGTTCGCGCAAGGGTTGGATAGGCACTCGTTGATGTTCGTCTCGCAGTGCTGACCAGTGAAGCCGGGGATACATTCGCAGGTATACCTGTTAGGGAATCATTAATGAGCTTGCGGATCTCCTGTTTATAAAAGCCGGTGTGCGTTCGATAAATGTATCGTTCATTCCGATTACAAGATGCAGTATTAATTTCTATTATACAAATCGAATATGAAACATGTGGATGATAGCATACATTGTGATTTAAGATTTAATAGGTATTATATTTTCATTTCAATAAAATATACCACTACACAAACCTAGCATTCATTCATTATTAAAAACGTAATAAAACCTTATGTGATTCATCAATTATGTACTTGAATTATATACTTTTTTTTGAATATAGAACATATAGAAATTATCAGGCATCAAGCACTATCTAACATACAGTACAGTACAAGGGAATAAAGGATAAAATAAGGATAAAATAGTTATAATATTTCAATATTAATCAAGCTACTGAGTCAGCCATACTACCATATATATATGTCACCAAGAATTTATTTAAATAAATACATGCTAAAGATGTTTGAATTGAACTTACTCAAAATAGTTATTGCTGCGTGAAAGAAAAAAGAATTTAAAAGAAATAAAATAGCAAATAAATGATAATGAAAATAAAAGATGAATAACTCTTTCGAAAGATTTTTACTAGTATTAATAATAATATTACATACAGAAAATAAAACTACTAGCTTCAACCGTTAAAACAATGTCTATTAGAAAAAAATCTCAAAACTATACCAATATCATCAAACTACATTAAGACTAATGTGCTACAAACAATAAAGTGCATTGTTAATATTATATCTCATTTATGTCACCGTTATGTATTTGCTTTTTATAATTCTCCAATATGCAAGTCGATTTAAGTAAGTCTTTTTCCTGTACCACCGAGTGTGTAATTAATCAAATAATTAAATGGAAATTATTTATTTATCAAATCGTTATAAGAATATCAAAGCCATCAGCCAAGAAGTCAAATTAAAGGAGTAAAAGCAAATACAAGTTTGTTTTTGCAATTATTTGGTGTGCAATTATAAAAATCCAACTTATATTCTAAGCTATTTATATTCACAACATAAACGTATTACATTTGACCCGTTTTATTTCTTAACCCTGTACTTTTTTTTTAAATCGAAATTTAGTTAGTAAACTGCAGTGTTTCATAAGTTAGGAAACTTGCTTGGTTTCTACAAACTGTATTAAATCTTGGTAACTAAGTTACCGAATAGCTTTTTACATGTCGAATTTAGTTAGTAAGCTGTAGTGTTTATTAAGTTATAAAACTTTCAGAAGCTTAGTTACATACTGTATTAAATCTTAGTAACTAAGCTACAGAATAGGACACAGTTGGGTGCTCACCTATTGATTCCGTCGATACAAGTGGCTCCATTCCTGCACGGGTTTGAGTAGCATTCGTTGACGTTGATCTCGCAGTTGCGTCCCGACGTTCCCGGCTTGCATCGACACTGGTACCCATCTATCAGGTCCTCGCAATGACCTAACGACGAAAGATTCATATAAGTTTAGGTAAAAAACTAATAAATTCAGCGTCATCAAACATGTTATCCCTGTTTACCTCTGCAAATATCATCGTGAGCGAGTAAAAAAGTCATATTTGTACAGTTCTATCATTGTCGACCAACATGATTCCCCCAAGAGCACGTCAAAAATCCGAGCCTAGTTATTTTTTATTTATTTAAAAATTTCAAAGCCACACAAAAGGCAAACTTAATGCTAATAAGCATTCTTCAGACAACCCATTTTCTGTACCCAATTCTTCATTTCTTCTTCGTTCCCCATTTACACAGTTCCAGTCATTGCGAAATTATTTATCTAAATATAAGTATATACCTCAATTATGTAACACAATAATTATGTTAAACCATTGTTGAACACTGGCACATCCACAAGCACCTTTTCGAAGGCTAAAACTTTTTGGTCCTTGTAGCCGGATCTTCCGTTCTGTTTCCGTTTTTGGGTTTACTCACCACCGAACTGGCACGGGTTCGACTCGCACTCGTTGATCTGGGTCTGACACACGCGTCCAGTGTACCCCGGATGGCAGTTGCAGGTGAAACTGTTGTCGCCGTCGATGCACTCGCCTCTGTGGCAGGGCGCTGATAGGCAGTCATTGATGTTGGTCTCGCAGGAGACTCCTGCAACAACGCCGGCTTTAGCGCATGGTCGCAGTGACCAGCTTCGTATACACGGTCCTGGCTGCGGTCTGGTAAGCTGATGTATTCAATCGAATACTTAACGAATTCCTCTTGAAGCAGAATACGGCTTTGCAGTTTAAAATTCTTATTTATTATTAGAACATACGAACTCATATTTCACTTGTTTTTTACTTTGTAATTTTTTTTTTCATGAAATTTTTAGAATATAATTATTTAATAAAAATTTTGTACACATATTAAGTACCGGCAACAATCCCCTCTTATAATTCATTGTAACGATATATCATTGTAAAGTTTTATGATCAGGTTGGATGCATTATTTTGGATTATAATCGCTAGACCTTGCAGTATTTATACCGTATTTATAAATTCAAAATTATAAGGTATTTTTTTTTTTCTGGATAAATTACATTTTCGAACACCGACTTACGGTTAATCGTCGCACTAGGAATTTTTATAATATTCAATTATTCGCCAATGTATCACCAACCGTAGATTAGTTATGTTTAACATTAATTATAATTAAATCGTAATTCTTCACATACCAGTATATCCTGGTGGACATTCGCAGGTGTAGCCGGCGATGGAGTCATGACAGTTCCCGCCATTTCGGCATGGGCTTGAGGCGCAGTCGTCAATATTCACTTGACAGCGAGCACCAGTGAATCTGTAATATGAAAAGGTTCCTCTTCATCTATGAGTTTATAAGCACCACCATTTTGCTCCACCATAGTTATCGCCACTTAGTTACGCTATAAAAATAATTTAGTTTGATACGTTGTCCACACTACTGACTTCAATTATATACACACCTAGACGGAATATAAGTTCTCCAAATTTCGTTTTATCGATTTTAACACATTACTTAGTTTTCTTATTTTTACACTTATTAAATACTTTTATTATTTTTCCTAAAGCAGTTTATTGTGAAAGCAATAACACTGTTTATTGTATCTAGCAAATCGTTTAAATATAAAATTTAATGCGTTCTGTTGTTAACTGTCGAAGTAACGCTTCGTCCAATACATGACACTTGGAAAGGCTTGTTTCGACTATTTGGATGTATGCACGTTTGAATCTAAACTGGCATACGAAACCGTAGAAAACTTACCCAATGACGCAGGTGCATCTAAAAGCATTGATCATGTCGTGACAAACGCCGCCATTCAAGCAGGGGTTGTTAGCGCACTCGTCTATCTCCACCTCGCACTGCGTTCCCGTAAATCCTATAATGAAACACAAAAATAACGTAATTTAGAAAATTAAGGATAAAGAAATAAAAATAAGAAGGCGCCCGAGGCTATTAGGGATTGGAAGTTGTGACTTAGTTGCGAATAGCTCGCAAGACAGTCGTGCTGTATACACGTTTGCTTTAATGAAAGACGTTTGTTAAGCTGACAGTTGACCAACGTTAAATCAATTTTTTAATAATAAGTTGGTAGAGGATTTAGATGTTATCTTATAGTCACGGCAATGAGTCAATTCGCTTTTAAACATTAAGTTACGTTAAAGGCAAGTGAAATTGATGTCAATAGAAAAAAATTATAACTATTTTTTAATTGACAGACAGAAACCAGAATAAATGAATCGAGAAGACGCACATCGGCTAAACAAGTTTCATATTGCTGTAGATAGGTTTGGAATCACCATAAACAGTTGAATAACAGATGTGGCGCTCGATTTGCAATACAATGCCGGGCATTCGTTATTCCAACATGAAATACATTAACCGTCACTGTCAGCAGGGACTTCAGCTTGGGTGGAATTGCATTCTCCAGATTCGAAAGTTATACGATATGGACGGACATCTGATTCAGATAAAGGCAATAGGCACATCGGATAAATTATATGATTGACATTCAAATTAGCGCAGTTCCTGGCATTAAAATGGCAGCGAAATGGAAGAGATTAGATGGAAACTGTGTAGTTTACGTCGATATGGAACGTTCGAAAACCACAAGGAGGTTTATTCATTCAACAATTAGAAATAAATATATGGACTTGGAAGACGCTTTCTAATCTTTAATGACGGATGCTCAACTTAACTGTTAAACACATTCATGTATTCATTATAATTAGACATTCATTATAATTAAACATCAATTTTAAAACATAACCCAATAATTATTTTATTTTTGTTCAAGTAGAAAAAAGCTTAGTAATGGCTTAAGTACACTTTTGTAGAAGAACGTATATTGACTGAAAGACTAGCATGAAGATAGCGACGAGTTGCTTCAGGAATCGATATATCAGGCTGTTTATTGCCGATACTTTTGTCGTTAACTATCCTCAACAGCTGTCTAAATCACTTTTGTCATTCAGTTACATAAAAATTGCGCTCTATCAGAACGCAATTGTTTTTGTCGCCACAAGGAAATGCAGCGGGCAGGCGGGCATAATACTAAATTGCGTCTCGTTGACAAAGCCATATTTGGGCAAATGTGGCCAGCGCATTGAAACAACAAACGTACTACCAACAATTTAAAGTACATAATTGAATGATCGACGTCCATCCAAGTCGGGATAATCTAGCTCGGACCAGTATAGAGGCACCCGTCTAGAAACGATTCCGTGATTCTGCAATTTCAACACTATTACAGGGCAGCAGGGTGCAGATACCGTTTGCGCGGTGTACATAAAAAGTCTTTAATAATTCCAACAGAAATCGCTATCCCGCCAAAAAGGGAATGCGGTCCTGACTTTCGTTTATGTAATCGTCAATTAACATTTCACCGGTTCTTGCCACTCTTATTTCTAGGCCCATAAAGTTGAGTTTGAATCAGGAATTAGTCAAACATTGGTCGTCTCACAGTTGGAGCAGGAATTTAAGGGCTTTTCAAACAATACTTGTGATATCTCAAATGCTCGCCATAAGTGGAATAGCCTTATTTAAACATTGACTGGCTTTTGTTATTCTTTGGTAATGCAATCTTAACGAGACAATGTGAGCAAGTTAATAAAGCGCGGGGCTGCAAACGATTTTGAGACGTTTTGCATTAATTATGAGGTGCATTTGTGCTTGTAATAGTTTACAGAGTACGATGCACGTGGGATCGTTTGTTTTTTGTGACGTATTACGCACTGTTCGCGTCAGAATCCTGAGTGTTGTGCTTAAAATTCATCTATATACACTTATTTTTAATAAGCTTCGTGTAAACAAATTCCCTTTGTACGTCTTTTGTTTTTATTATATATAAAACAATTGAATAATTCTGACAATTTAGAATTCACGGTGTGTTATTTCGTTATCGTTAAATTGGAATACGTCCACTACTGAAATACTACTGAATGGATTCTAATGAAACATTACAATAATATAGCTTATATATCAGAATAAAACATAGGCTATATATATATATATATATATATATATATATATATATATATACAATATATATCTTTCTGTCTTAATGTTACGCTTTAAGCCTATTCTACGCAGGCGTAGCCGCGGGCAGCAGCTAGTTTGTAATAATTCTTAATACTACATTAAATTCGATCGTATCTCGTCGCTTTTTCACACGAGCCGGTCCATACTTTCACGAGGTTGGCCAATATTTCAAATGATGGTTTTGTGTTCTCGTGGTTTTACGCAAGAGCATTTCTGTGAAGTCCTCTATTGGACATTTATCGCCGTATCAACCGAAAAGCTCGCTGGCGGGGATGCCACACCCCGCGACGGCGATTGGTACAAGTCAGAAGTGTAGGTCCGAATTCACTCTACTGTATCATCGTATTCGATCTTAACTAGCCCGTGGATACCTTAGACTTATTCAAATAGTTATTTATGTTATATAATAGTAGTATTTTCTACATAGTATTTATTTATTTACATGTATTAATATGTCGAAAAGAAGGTGTCATCCAGGTACCATACATTCAGATGGGTTTTTAATTTCTCAACGAGGAATTAGTTGTTAAATTTTCCTTTTTGTAGTGCAGGCGAAGGCAATTTACAATAGTTTCGCTTCCAAACACTCGCCTCGAGCAACCAGAGTTGAAATCCCAGTGCTGACACCGAAGAAATTGTCAATTGCAATTTTATGTGATGACCAAGGTGTGGTCGGCAAGGAAAAAAAAGATATCTATGAAAATAAAAAAGGTCTATATGAAATAATGAAAAAATTACTTCAAGTTCTACTACCCCGTGATCTCACCGATTAATTATTCAACTGATTTAGTTTTTAACGACATTTTGTATAAAGGTTGAAGATGCTACAGCATCCGTAGTTGTTTTGAGTCAGGTTCCCTATTTGTCCAATTAAATCGCCATGCTCAGCTCACACCAGTGTCCCGATCGTTCAGCCAAGTAATCTGATCAAAATTGGGTTTAGTTGCAATCGGTCCCAACGTCTGAGCGTCCAATTAGGCTAAAAGGCCTCTAGTTGCCTTATAGGACCTTCGCTGAGGTCCTTAATTTGAGTAGTTATGCGCACGTTGCGTCGTCACTGCTCCTTATATAGGGCAGCATTGGTCCCCGCCGCATCCGCTGACTTGGGCCGCAGCCCAAACGTCACGACTTCGCATCAACCACAATGGGAATGTCCGGCGCATGCTCGACCCGGCTTTGTGCATATTTGAATGTTCAATGTGGCTCTTAGTTATACACGTGACCAGGTGGGATTGGCCCGCTTGATTTTACGAAAACGCCGGTTGGAATGAAGGCGCGTCTGAACCGAAGGTTGCGTGTGACATCTAAGAAATACGTCATCACTGCTATAATGAGGATTCAGTTTATGCATCAATGGGTGGTCCTTAAATGTACCAAGACCTCGCAGAAAACTGGCGTAAAGTACAATTGTTATACTTGTTGTTTAAATGTAATCTGATGAAACTACCTCACTTCATCAAACAAAATTTACAAATTAACGTGTATTTCACTGCGACACAGTCCCAACGGTCAGTTTCAACTTGAGAACTAACTGACAGTTGTCAGACCGCTAATTATTCTATAATTTCCGAATAAGATACTAAGTAATTGATTAACAAACTTTTAGATTCTTTGTATAGCGGCATTTCTAAGTACAATCAGTAGGTATCGAGTAACGAAAATTATACGGTCATGGGAAAACTGTTTTTTTTTTTAAATCCGATCGCTGTTATGTAAAAGGCGAACTCTGTCCGCATCCAGTTTCTAAAACCCGTTGCGGTTGTTTAGCGACATAAAAAAACGGCGTATTCTAAAACTCCCCGAGGCGTCCCACGTCTCATTTTATAGGAATGTTGCAAGACCTGACTTTGAGAGCCGGTGAAAAATGCTGTCATGCTATCGGAGCAGATTTTATTGAGCGGTGCGTGTGATTTGTTAGAAATAGACCTATCATTTCGTGTTTCAAATAAGTAGTAGGCTGAGAACTGATCATCTTAAAGACATTTCTGTTAAATGATTTGTTTTCTGTCCAATATATTTAACATAGATTGCTTAGACACATTTGTTTAAATAAGATGGATATTAGAATAATGTTGCCTCCAAATCTTTATTCAAAACAGCAAGTTATGATAATTATTTGTCTTGTATAAGTCGACTAATAGACTTTGAATCGCTATAACTTATCACAAAAATCGTGAAGAAAGTTTTCTTGAACATATTTTAAAAAATTATACTTAAATGATGCCGTGGTAACTCAAGGTCCGGGAACGCGCTTTTAATTCAATATACTAGTATATTATGTTACAGCAACCATTGTTCAAATCTTGGTGCCGGCACCAATGAAATAGTTAATTGCTAAGTTATCACGTGATTAGCGGTGAAAGGAAACATTTAGTGGAAACTTGCACATTTTCGAAATAAAAACATAAAAAAATCAAAGATATGAGAAGATGATATATACATTATTAGGTTATGTATATATAAGTATACTCATCTACGTATGTGTTTTTATGTTGGTAGTTTTTTGATTTATTCTACCCTAACCTAATTATTAAATATTATTTATTTGATTATGTAGCGTTTACAACTACTTTACTGCCCTTGTCATTAAGTCTCTGTACTACCTAGGGTTAGCTGGTAGAGAATGCAATATAGCATTAAGCTCGCCTTACTACAATTTTTAAATAAATAAGTCCGCTTTCTCAGTAAGTATTTTTCATCAATTGTATTACGTTCCATGCGATCGGGAGAGTAAGTGCTAATTTGCTGGCAGCACCAACTTGACGACATTATGCAAATTGCAGCGGCCACTGGGTGTCCACACGTTTAAAATCTGCGGACATTTACGTTCGCAGCTGCGCCCTACACGTAGAGGACGGGAGTAATGAAGCGTTCCGTTGGCGGCGCCCCCTCCACGCGCGCAAAAACCGGGTGCAAAGCACTAGTCGACATACTTTATTGCCGCCTTGAAAAAAGTCGGTTTCATGCCGCGTTTGCCCTTATTAGTGCACCCGCCGGACGGGTCCGCGCGCACTCGTGCATGATATAAGTGATACGCGGCCGGGACGTATCGACGTGTTCAACGTACGCGGCTGGTTTAGGACGGGGCCTTTTCTATTTCGCCGGGTTGCATTACCCGCGACTCCGGAGCGAAGCGTACCGAACTGTAGGGTTATAGATCCCCGAGTAGTGTTGCCATAAACTTTCTGGAGACACCACAACTGAATCGAATAGAAAAATGTTCGAGCAAGCCTTCTCAAGGCAAGAATAGGTGTTACTGAGTTAAAGCTTTGACTTGACTTATCATCAGACTGAATAAATATTGAAACGTAAAATAACAAAATAACATAAACAATACTCTATGTTCGAGTATGTTAATAACACTTACACGTAACTTAGGAATGGATTACAATATAACCGTGATTTAAAAACAGCTTAAAGCAGAAATAAATATCTATATCTTTAAAAACAATAAAGAGTTCTCATTTTTTATTTATTTATTTTATTATAATTTATTCGGAAAACTTACAGCTATTAATTAACAAAGATAATTGAGTTATTGCTTTTAAATACTAAAGAACCCGTTTATAAGTTTTCACATTTAGAAATCTTAAATTACAGTTACTATAGAAAATAAATAAATAAATACAAGGAATAAAAAAAGACACGCGAGTACAATGCGATGAACATAATTATGGTAAAAATAACAGTAAAGCTAATATTTTTTTTATATCTAAGTTGGCAACACTATCTATGAGATAACCGGCATAAGAAATGGCTCCAGCATTTAGCCGGGTAATAAAGGAAGGGGTTCCAATGACTGGTCACAACGCAGTTCATCGCGTACGCTGACATCTTTCAAGCAATGACAATGTTGTGAGGCTAACATAAAACGGGCACTACACAGCAAAGTATGGCGTATTTATTCGGTGTATATGTTTTATTCCATACAGAGCTAAATATAACATATGCGTCTTTATATCAGGGTTATTTTTTGAAGATAATTATTCGTACACAGGGGCTTTTTGTGTTTGACGAAGCATGCAAAAGTTCCCGCCTAAATTGTGTTTTGTTACATATAGCGTGAGTAACGTGCAACGTTCCATCACGTTTCGTAGTACTTAATGTCGTTAATACCAATTTGGAGCATAAAGCTAGTGTTTACATTTATACAACTTTTTCCTTCCTTCATTCACCGTTGATACTACAGAGGTGTAAGTCATTTTAATTGTGTGTAATTTTCGTACTGAGGACACCTGTCGTATTGAAAAATGAACTGAAGGAAAAATGGACGATATTATTAGACGGATAAGGAAAAAGACCATAACTTATAAGGTAAATATAACACATAATCATGTAAATATAAAACTACATCTTAAATTTGTTTTTAATAAATGTACAATATACACTTTATATTATAGCTTTTTGTAAATTTTTTCGCTGCTCTATAAAGTGGGGCAAAAGTTAGTAAGTAGCCCTAAGTAAATTTAATACGACGTAGCAATGGAAAACAATAACTACAAATGGACAGATAAGTCTTTTGATTTTAATAACAGTTGACGTGGCTTTACCGTATCGTATTTTTCGTGGGAATGACATAAAAAAAGACATATTATCTTAATGTTAATGTAAGTGTAATGTTAAATTACACATTACAGGAAACCCGTTCCGATTGAAATTTAGATAATGGATGAGCCCGAAGCGATCATCATTGAAAATTGGTCCATAAACACAGAAGGTTAAAGTTCATAACGAAAATCGAGCGTCTTCGGCTAGTTCATAGGAGTGGCGAAAAGAGCGAGACATGCAAATAGATCGTTATCCAATTAATATTTAACTAACACGACGGTGAACGGGCGGAATGCGGTCTTAGCTAGTGAAAATTAAAGTTGATTTCGCATTGTTAAAGTTAACGGTAACTTTTACGCGCGAAGACAATGCGCGGGCACTTCTCTCCATGGGAATGTGTTCAGGGCTGAGCTTTTCGTCAAAACAACGAATCGTTGCGGATGAAATATCATTAATGAGTGAAATCACGGTTTTTTTCTTTGAATTGTTCTAAACTAAATCGGCACATTAAAGCTTTGTCTTTTCACTACTAGGCAAGGGTAATTTCGTGAAGTTATAATATTTATAAAGTTTAACGTCAGCATAGACAACAGTATTTCAGATGCGGTTATATATAACAGCATCGTTTGTGTAATACATACAGAGTTCTACTATAAACAAAATGGCAGGGGAAAATTTACTGTGCGAGACATTACATCATCTGACTGATTCAAATCAAGTCTTCAAATCTAGGATCTGGAACGTAAATTCCGAACTGTCACCTGAAGTAGGATTTATTGAAAAACCGAGACGTAACGGCATAATAAAAACTGTACACATTGCTTGTAATTTATAAAACAGGTTTCAGATTTCTCTTTGTTACTGTTGATCACATATAGTAAAGCCCACGAGCGTATGTCCCTTCAGGTTACTCTCGGTCTAATGGTGATGACCATCGCCCGACGACGGGCAAATTGTAGGTGGCCATGTTTACCGTTGCGCGGAACTGTTCCCCGATATTAAGTCATTTGCATCAATTGTGACGGAGTGCTGGATTCGCGTGAAACGCGGAAGTGGATTACGCAATGGGGTATGACGCTATCCCCCTATTTATGTTTTTATACACGGAGCACACGCTTTTGTTACTATTTTCTTACCGAGATGTGTACCAGGGTCGCAGATCCTTAAGATAATAAGCTCGTCATAGTAACGATAAGAAGTCTTAATTCAAAGTACTATGGAGTAATATGCCACTATTGTTTCGTTGCAAGTTATGAGATTTGTAAGAAATTGCTTAATCGCGGCTGAAAACATATACTCAAGATACACTCGTGGTCCATAACCAAACTTGCAATGCACAGTTTGGATATAACTAAATAAGAATATAACAATTACCTAAACTAAACGTTTTGCGTAGGGTTTGAATCAGGCACACAGACACCTAGTGAAGTGTGTAACAAACAAGTGGACGCAGCGTGCAGTTTTATTTGCCATATTACAGACGAGTTTGTTTTTAACAGGCAAATAGAAAAAGCATGAAGCCTTCAAAGGGCTTCCAAACGCGCTATGAATTTAGCCCTCTCATGCAAACAGACGCGTTGTGGAGTACTAGTCCAGTCAACCAGGCTGACAATGTTCTATCATGACGGTATTAAATTAATGTTTACCAGGCAAGCAGACACAGTATGCAGCCGTTACTAGGCTAAAAACGAAATATAAAGTTAGCCGTACCAGGCAAACAGATGTCGTGTGAAAGTAACGCTTACTAATTAGACGTGAAAACGTACAAAGCTTAACCACATTTGTGAATTTAGTCTTGCAAGGCCAGCAGAATTGTGAATCCAGCCAGCTCTCACCAGGCTTCCAAAGTCCTGGCGAGGCTACCTTCGAAAGTCACCCGGCTTCCGAAGCCAGCCTCACCAGGCGAGCAGTACCGAGACGTTAGCACTTACCAGGCATGCAGACGCAGCGGAAGGTGCCCGGGTCGTCGAGGCAGGAGCCGTCGTTCCGGCACGGGTGGCTCTCGCACTCGTTCACGTTCGTCTCGCAGCGGGGCCCCGTGAAGCCGACGGAGCAGTTGCACGCGAACGAGCCCGGCGTGTTCACGCAGGTGCCGTCGTGCTCGCACGGGGAACCTTCACGAGTGATTTCTACGCCTTAGATTTGTATTTATCACGTCAGATCGCGTGACGGTGTTCGCTTTCGTCTAGTTACTCCTTTCGTACAAGTTTGTCCGTTTCGAGCTAGTGACGTATATTCTTATCTGACTTTAACTGTGTATGTAGCTCGTCGACTAACTTTCGATGTTTACTTAGTTGCTTTCGAGCCAGAAGATTATACATCTTATCCGATTTCTACTAAGTATGTAGCCCCGAAAATAGTCCTCTGGGTTGATCAAAAAGATTATTCCTTGAACAGGAGTTACAATCGGAGCAAAATAAAATGTGGATCAAAAATACATATTTTGATGACTCCGTAGCGCAGTTGCTAAGGTTTTGACTTCGGCGTCGGGGTTCTTGGGTTCGATTCTCACAAGGGATAACTATGTGTGTGACCCACAGATAATTTTGTCGCATCTTGGTGTTTTTCCACGTGAAATTTATGCTTGAAAAACGTCCACACACAAACACAGGATAATGTTATCCTAATGTGTTACAATGTTAATAGTGCAATGTTTTTAAAACAAGTTTTTTTTACACTTTTTTTAAAAAAAAACATTGCCCTCACTTTAGGATCAGTTTGAAATAAGATATATAAAATTTATTCTGGCGAGTACGTTTTCAAGAACACAATATCCCGCAATCGAATCAAATTACCTTGTTCACATTCATCGATATCCTCGGAACAGTCGAGCCCTTTGTATCCAGAGGCACAGGAGCAGGTGTAGGAACCGTTGATGGGGCTGGTGTCACAGATGGCGTCCGCGTGGCATGGATTCGACGTGCACGCGTCGTCGAGGTGGCAAAGTAGACCTATACAGAAATGTTACGGGTAAAACTTCAACAGGCGACAACTGAAGCTAGAACTAGTAGCTACTTAATGATATAATAACAGTTTAATAAAAGGATTGTCCGGTTGAAAGAAGAAATGTCCGGTTGAAGTCGTGCTATAATGTTTTGCCTCATTGCAGCATAGTCGAAGCCGAATGCGTACCGGACGAACTAGTTTTAAGATGACAAACATACCAGTCTTCCCCGGAGTGCATTTGCAGTAGAACGCGCCCACTCGGTCTATGCAGGTGGCTCCGTTGAAGCAGGCAGCGCCGGCGCAGTCGTCTATGTTCACGGAACACTCAGGTCCAGTCCATCCGTTCACGCAGATGCAGGAGAACCCGCCGACAGAATTGGTGCAAGTGGCACCGTTCTGGCACACTAGCGGCCTGCAAAAGAAAAATACGTCAAGCTGTGTGTTTTTGTCAGTTCTTCACTAACACAAGAGCATTTCTTTGTTTCATATTGGCTTAAACAATTTTGTCGTACGAAAATAAATCGATACGACTTCTTAGCTGAAATGAATGTAACTGCCGTAGGGCCACGCAAAAATCTTTGCTATTTTGTCCGACGTCCGACGAATGGGCAGGTCCGTTCAGGAAAGTACGATCACCTCACAGAAGATCGGCGGGAAATGGAAGTGTTATATTCCTGCGTTTCGTCTGATGAGTACGGCAGCCGGGGAACATTTAATTGAAAGATGGCAACGAATCTGGACCCTACGAATGTTGCAAATTTCCGTGCAAGGCCGTTATCAACTAACATCAGGTGGCACGCCAGCTCGCCTGCCGCCTTCTCACATGAAAATAAATGTAATCATTTCAAAAATTTAATTAACGGGTCAAATGACATAAGTAACTTAACTTGGAATTACTCGCGAAATCATCAATTATACAGCTGCTTGCTGCACGTCGTTAACAAGGTCGGAATACTGCAACCTTTGACGAAATAACGTAAGAAAAGTCCCAACAGGAGCCTTTGACGCGCATGGCGGTTTCTTTTATGTTTTTAATTCAACTTATCAGCGCGTTAGTGCATTTTTTCGAGAAAAGGTCCCTGCACTGCTCTCGTATGAGCCTCGCGAATGCTGAGCAGCACAATCACGAAGTGCTTCGTTATAAATTTTTTTTTGTATAATTTCATACCTCTCACGTAATGACGGGCGTCGGGGTAATGCGACTTTTTGCGATCTCAGACAGCGGTATTCGGCCAAAAATTGCCGTGAGCTTTTCCCTGTGTCACATTCGCCTCTTGACCTTTCTTTGTGGCGTTCAAAAATTCCTTTTTTTACAATTGCTAACGATCTAATTGACTTTATATTGTTATACTAACAACCTTACGAGATTTTCGAGAAGAGCAGTGTAATTTGTATAAATGATACGATCATTTTTGAGCTGAACCATAATTTTATTTATAACTATAGGAGATCTTCTTTATTGCTTTGTTTAAAAATATTTTCAATATAAAACTAAATTTAACTATATTACATGTTACCTAATAGATCTAGTCCACGCTGCATGGTGCCAGGAACGCACAGAACTATTTCTTAAAGAATTATCCTTGCTGAATAGTTATGCTTAAGCTTTTGGGTGAGAAAAAACCAGGCATCTTGCCACCAGCCACAGTGACAGGTCCAGGGCATAAACCTTTCAAAATATCGATGTGCGGTGATCCCACGGACCTGAGGTTTTAACAGCAAATGGCACAAATACATAATCTCACAAAGATAATATTTGCGCCACTTACTTAATTTTGCTGCCTCTGATGCCCGACCAAGTCTCTTTGATGAGAGGCAACTAAGTGTCTACTCAAGTAGCATTCGAAACGAGGGCGCTGCGTCTCTCCCAAGGGATCAAAGTCAAACCGTCGGGTCTATAGATATCGTAGCGGAAATTGCCATGGAGCACCGAAATAGAAGAAACATTGGTAGAAACAAGACCCCTACTTCATGACTTCAGGGAACGTTAGTGAGAATAGTGACAGGTGCTTTTTTTACAAGAAAGCCACCATATTTATCTACATTGGCATTGGTTTGGTCGCAGACAGATTCCTGCTGCAATTGTGCAAAATCAGCCTGTTAATTATGTATCTCTGGCTGATCTACCGACAGCAGAAATGTAAGTCTATTTTTCTAGCTTCCTCTAAAACTTACAATAAGAATAATAATGCTTTTGCATTTACACGTGAGTCATAAATTATTTCAATATTACGATACTAGACCCAGTCGGTGGCCATGTTGCTTTCAGAGAGCGAACACGCCGACTCGCTGGACCGGCAGTGCGCAGCGCATAAAGCAAATTCAAACGAGACAAAACACAATAACGAAAAAGGTCAATGGCTTAAGATAAAACATACGGGTCCTTATTTCGCAACAGCTAAGTCGAGCTGAGCAGGTCGGGCGTGGCGCGTGCGACCGTATACATGCTCTAGAGGTATACTCTATACACTATCTGATCTTACTCGAATAATATTGCCAAACAAGGCGTGCACCGTGTATTAATAGAGGGCGATTTATTACGATTTGTCCAATGATAAAGAAATTATGGTTTCGTGTGTTATAATTTAAAATAGAAACGAGACATAAATTTGCCATTCCGTTATCGGTGAAACGCCACTTCTGTGATTTTCCTTTGCTCCGTCGTATGAAATATTGCAATGATAAAGTATGAGTTCCATTTAATTGTTTGTCTCTATTAACGCGAATTCAAAACAATTAAGAAATGTAAAGAAGAGCGTGCGCCAATTTTACTTACGTGGGAAAGGTTAACGGGTAACTCTCACGTCACAGTAACAAAATCAGCAGAGTCAAATCGTCTAAGAACAAATACGTTGAGTTTACTAAAATGATACTAGATCTCGTCCCGTAAAGTAAATAAATTAGTCCAAGATTATTATAAGCAATTATTCAAAGAAAAATTATATCATCATCATTACTTTACTTTATTATCATTATCAGATGGCATTGAAGCTTTAGGCATTAGGTTTATGCAAGGCACGTGCTTTGATCCGGTACTCTTCTTGCCGATATCAATTAGATACTACTCTTACTTATCAATTCTTCAATAGTACCTAGTTCAGACGGCATTACATTAAGGCTTTATTGACACAGCATAACCCTAACCTCGTTCAATAATAAAGCACACGTGAACGTAAGCAACGACAGCGTGTATAAGTTCAATAATAAATATGTAACAACATGAAAGAAGTTGTAAATCAAATCTCGACACCGAGCACAACCTCTTTTGAGTGGTAACATGCCATAAGCGATCGGCGGAATGTAAACTCAAACGACCCATTTCAATGTGTCACGACACCTATGTAGCTTTTGGTACGTGACAGCTATGAGATGAGCTCGTATCCTAAGGATTCGTACACGGAAGATGAAATGGAAGACTATCACAACGTAGATGTTAAATGACGATAAAATAATTTGAAGGTAATCGCGCCTAGTTTTGATATTATACTTTTTAAAAAGGATATTTAAGTTAGTATGGCCGCGGAATCCAACGAAAGATATTTTTCGTTACACCCTAGAGATGAGGAAACTTTTTATGACGTTTAATTTAATTAACATTAATGTCGTCAATTAGATAAATATAATCCCGCTACTGTTAATTTGTAGTATTGTTAACTGTCGCTGTAGCTTGCAATTTAAACTTAAACAAACTCTAGCCGCAATTTAATATTCGGAATAAGCTTTCCGACCGTAAATCTTGGCTGAGTGCTAATAAATTGTCGACTTTTAGACCCCATTGACACGGTCGTGTAGACCTTCCTTATTAAACTTGTACGCTGGAGGACTGTTCGGGTTACAAGCTGGCTGTAATCAAACCTTGTCGTCGAATAAATCAACACTACGAATGAAGATGTATTTAAAGTTTAAGGCATCCATAAAACGCTATTGGGCTTTTGTACGTAACACGTTATGGGGCGTATAAATTTTTCGGACTGTAAGCAAGCCGGTTGTAATAGCAAAGTGTAGACGAAATACGACATAAGAATAATGAAAAGTCCTTGAAATCTTTTTTTTTTTCGATTTAAACAAATGTATAAAATTTCGGGTTTAAATTTCTTTTTCTTTCTGTGGCGAAATAAAGTGTTATATGACGCTATTTCAATATTTTGCTCGTTTCATTGTAAGGTATGTTTAAAATCGCTACAACAGAAGCCGCTAATCTTTTGGAATATAATGTTTAAATGTGGGTACTCAAATGATGGTGGACAAATATTTTTTCGGTTTATTTAAATAATTATCTTGGGAATTAATAATGAAAAATTCAGTTAGTAATAAATTTTTTAAATTCGTCAAATCAACATTTTTCACCTCTGCCACCTTGTTGTAAGGAAAAATTTGGGCGTCTCGTCAAAATGAAGCTACTCACAAAAAACCTGCATGTTAGTAATAAAAGGTGAAAATGGGCCTCGGGCCCCGGACTAATTCCGTTCGCTCCAAAGCAAATGTCGCATCAAGATGGCGGAGGCCGTTCTTAGCGATCCGCTTCGCGGGGAATGTTGCAGTCCGCTTTATTTGTTGCGGATTAACGGTCCGTCAAGTGGTATTTCCGACGTCTCGGAACATAGCAGGACAGTCTCGGGTTTACAGTTAGGGATCAAGTATTCCCATTCCTTTTAAGAGTTACGAACGCTATGAGCCTAATTCATCAAAAAGCTCTACGTACCCACTTTATATATTTGGGAAACAGGAGATTAATAATGATGTGGTATTACGTTACAATGAGTAAATGGCCTCTCAACGCGCTTCATAACACTGCCTGTATCCAATAAATCTACATAAGTAACAACCTATACATGTCCCACTGCTGGGCAAAGGCCTCTTCTATACAGGGTATCAGGGCATAGTCCACCACGCGGCCCCACTGCGGATTGGCGGACTTCACATATCTTCGAAAAAATTTTTTTTTTATTATTATTTCTAAAATATGCAGGTTTCATCAGGATGTTTTCCTTCACCGCGGAGCACGTGATAAATCTGCATAAAACTGTTAATTACGCTCTTTCGTGTGTCTACTCTTATAGGGTTGGCAGAGTTAAGAACAAGTAATTCTTTAACAAAATGTTACGTTAACAAATCATCCTTTTTTAATTAAATGTGTATCCAACATTAAAATAGTGTTAGCATGTCCGGTTTGGTGTAACATTGAGTGTGCTACTTCAGAGTGCTAACATAAAATTAAAGTAAAGTAACAGACTGTGATATGTCCAACTGCCCATCAGTTGGACATATCACAGTCTGTTACTTTACTTCTGTAAAGAGGGTATCAGGGCATAGTCCACCACGCGGTCCCACTGCGAATTGGCGGACTTACTATCTTTGAATTTTTTTTTAAATTAAAGTTTTCCCACTATTTAGTGTTCTCACAATGTTTTC